CAGCAGGAATGTTTGCGTTATCATGCCCGGTGCTGTCAGGGTGAGTCAGCTTGTGCAACCACCTCTCCTCCTGTTGGCTCAGCACCACAATGTCATGCTTATTCACAAAGTGCCATCCTTGTAAGCTGGGCTAATTACTTCACAGGTGTCTGCACCCTGTTGGGCACTGTATGTCGCCCCGATGGCCTGCTGCCATTCACAAAGCTTTGTTTACTGTAAACAAGCTTCTGGGGATTGTTATTCATAGAGCTACTGTTGTTTTTGTCATGGTACAACTATAACAGCAGTGTGACAGAGCCATGTCAGCCTGACCATGAACTGTCATTCAGATGTGACTCAGATGTGACACAGATGTGTTTCCTGTGTGCCATCAGACCTGTTGCCAGCACTTTAAACCAGTCTTTACATTTGCCAGAGCAGAACTGTCTGACAAATTGAGATCTGTGCAGTGGGGGAAATGCAGTTACAGCCTGGTGAAGCTTAGACACAACACCTAGCTAAATTACAACAGCAGTTTTTGATCATGTGTTTCCACATCCCGTATCATGCATCAATTTTGCAGAGTCTGGAGTAACTCTGCGCCCCGAGGCTTCCCTTTTTTGTCACATAAAAGAGGAAACTGTCGAAGTAAAAGTTTCTACTCTAACTCTACTCTCCAACCCTGACCCTTAAAAAAAACAAGTCTGTGTGGTTCAGGTGTTGGAGTCAGTGTTGACACACACAGTAAATACATCAAGGTTATCAAAACGTTTGATTGCCACTGTGTGTAGTTTTGTGTAGCTACAGTAACATCACAATGCGTCTCAGTGCAATCTTAATGGGCCAGCCACTGTGGTTAGCCTCCGAGTAGCCGGGCTGAGCAGTGATTACACCGCCTCCATCTGTGCCTGTCTGCGCTGCCTGCACTTGTAGCCCCCCTTGGCTGGGGGATAAGTGGCTGGAGACGGCCATTGACCACTGGTGTGTAAGTGACCAGCAATGTCAATAGAATAAAACATACACATAGACATTCAAGATTTGAACTGGAGAAACTAGGTTTGTGCATCAGTGTTGCTGTTCCCTTGATGCACACAGCGCTTACATCCGTACTCCTGCAAGATATAAGAAAACACAAAACAACATGTGGACTTCATACTGCACATAGAAGCACAATGCAATACAAAGTGTGTAAAAAAAAAAAAAAAACAATGTCTTTGTATACACACATGTTTTTGCCTTGTTCGTTTGGTGCATTATTTAATGTATTTGTTGAATTTTTTGTGCCTGTTGCTCAGGCTACTTCTTATCAAAGACACAAGTGCACACAGTAGGTTCGGTGACTTTAGTTGGCACAACAACTTGGTTGTCACCTTCTTTGTAATTGTTTGTGTTTGAATATCTTTTTTTTTATCAGCTTGTTCACTGATCTCTGCTGTGAAAACAGTTTTTCACTTACAAGCCATGTAATACAAGGAAGCAGAATTCCAAGCCTTGCAAGAGACCTGCAAATGTTGTTATAATTTATTCTCTTTTCTAAAAAATGTCAGTAGATTTTCATAGATAATGTACATTTGCCATTATTTTTTCTCCAAATGGACTGTTTGGATTTTGTTGTTGTATGTGAAAGCGTGGAAGCTGAATGTCTAAATCTTTTAATTTCTCATTTTCGGGGGTGGGGGGCCCTGTTTGTCTATGAAAACAAACAGCCTTTGTGAAACCCCTGTGGCATAACTACGGAGAAAGGCATTTGGGGAAACATACACAAATAGTGGGGTGTTGAGAGCAAGTGGTTGTCTAACTTCAGGGGCCTGTCGGAGCCCCATTTAGAGGAAACTGGAATGACAGGGCTTTGTGTCAGAAGGTCACCAGCGTAAGTTTATATGGGAAAATATACAGTAGAAAAGGCGTTAATTAAGGTGATGCTCCATGCATGTTTGGCACTGTAGCGCTGGAATGGTCAGCGCCAGAATCACTCTGAAAGGGTCCCAGTGTGCGGAGTGACACTGTTTGAAGTGCACTGACCTGATTGATGGCCCAACAAAAGGTTTTGTTTGTTTGACCTTGATGTTTATTGCTTATTAAATATGTGTGTAAACAGTTGGCAGGCATGTGTGTGTATGTATGCGTGTACAGCGAATGTGAGAGGTGGAGAGTTTACCATGGTTCACTGGAAGAGGCTTTGTTTATGTAACACGGGTGATTGGCACAGACTGTGTATAGTGAGAATGATAAACAGTGGCATCTTCAAATGTGGCTCTCTTCCTATTGGCTTGTTATTGTGGAAATGGCAAACATACAAATTTGTAGGTCAGAGGTCCAGGTATCGTTTAACATGCACATGTGCACACAGCCTGCTCCCTTCCTTATGTCTGATCTTAACCCTTGGAGAAGCGACAATGGATTAAACTGTGAGTTCCTTACATAATAAATGTTAAACTCAGGTGACAGTATATTGAGAACTGTCTGGTTGTATAATCATAAACGCATCATAACACACACCCTTTAAAATGAAACTCCCAACCTTGCATGATTAAAAGGCTTTCATCTTTTCAAACCAAACAAAAAATAGTTACTCCTAATGTCCAGCTGTCAAACAAGTCTTTACAAGTATAGCGATACAATTAAACACACATACGCACATGCACCAGTGAAGCACCAGCATGTCTGGCCCAGGGTGGCCACACCCTTTCTTTTCTCCCTGCTGTCCCGTTGGGTGGTGTCAAGTTTCCTCCCGCACTGAAAACCTGCCCAGTACCAAAGATGTCATTGGCTATCTCAGCAAGTTACTGCAACTCCATCGCCACCTCATTGGTCACTGGGGGATGCCAGGACAATCCATGATATGGAGATGCTCCCCACTCGCTTCAGGGTATTGATGACTGGCAGAAGGGTATGGCACGGTGGTAAGGTGGTTCTCCACGGAGCAGATATTGATCAGAAAAGACTGAATGTTGCTCGGGAGGATTTGATTTGATTTTGTCATGAACCTTGTTTATTTGTTTTAACCTAAAGATCTGGTTTACCTCAGGCTACTTCAACAGGTTTGTCTTTTTGTAGCCTAAATTCAACTGTCACCCAACGTCACATATACAGCTCCTGCTGCCTACTGTCTCTAACTATTAAGAAAAATTTAGCTCCCAGTGTTTGATCCTGACTAGCAAAATTCCAGTTACATGTCGGGGCTTCAAAGCTGGCAAATATTTTATATGCAGTTTTTTCCTCTTTCTCTTGTGTTGCGTTGCAGAGTCGTGCTACTGTTTGTGTGTAAGCTGCTGTGTTGTTTACTTGTTTTGGAGAAATAATCTGATTGCACTAATACCCCAGTTTTTGCATGTCAACCACGTTGATGCAGGGATATTACTTCTCCCCTCTTTGCTTGCTCTTCTGTGTATTTATGTATCAGCAGCGCTACAGAACCGCACTACTTCACCGGACTACTTCACCGGATTTATTCAGATAAAGCAGAATAAGTGTTGGAGATTAAATTAAACATGATGTAATGTAACACAAACAGCCGTTTATATTTTGTGTCAGGTACATTGGTTTTACAGTCATTGTGTTCCCCGCTGATATTTTAACCCAGTTGTACGGCTCAAACCTGTGACCTTTTTGTTTTGCGAATGTCATGTCGAGCCCTGTGTGTGTGTGTGTGTGTGTGTGTGTGTGTGTGTGTGTGTGTGTGTGTGTGTGTGTGGCTTTTGCGGTGTGTGGTTGACTCTATCCTCCCAGATGTGCAATTGCATTTGAAATCCGTCTGTCTCAACATCAGACACAACTTTGCTTTCTTTGTGGAAGACACACACAACACATACACAGTCAGCATTGCACTTACAGTAAGCAGTAGTGTCCCCTGCTCACATATACACGGTCAGAGTGGGAACACACATCCGTGCAAACACACACAGTAAGTCTGTATGCGTGTCAGCAAATCCCTGCTGCAAAACTCATGTTGCAGGGGGATTGTTTCTGCTCTCTGCTGCCATGTTTCATCAGTCTACCTGTGTGTGTGTGTGCACTTGTCATGGTTTGTGTTTTGACTTGTTTGTGTACAGAAAGTGTTTGTACAGGGTTAGAGAGAGTGATGTTTGTACAGAAGTGTGTAAACACTATATAAGGTGAAGCATCCTATACACTTTGCTCTCACCACAGTACAGCCTATTGCTCTGATACACTCTGGCTCTTTAAATCTCAGACACATTTTGTGTTTTTGGTGTTTTTGCTAATCCTCTTATGCAGTGTATACAACGATAAAAACAGACTTGTGTCTTTAGTTTTGCAACATGACACGCAGCCACAGCCGGTGTGGAGTGTAATATCGAGTGCAACAGTCAAGGCTGCAGCGTCCAGACAGCTGATGTAACAAGTATTCCTCAGACTTATTTGGATCAGAGAGGACGGGTTGTTTTGGCTGCTATTAAAGGATATTAAAAAATCTTGGACTTTGAATTCATTATATAATTTTACTATTAACAGATATTATGAAAGGAAAGTTACAAGAATTTTCCATTTCCCATAATTCTTTTTTTTATTTAAGTTAATTTAGTCATTGTTGAGGATCGTCAACTCAGCTCTGTACTGTAGTAAGAGTTCCACTGTGTTTGAACTCAGCAACCCTCAGGGACAACTCTGTAGTTGGGGTCAAAATCTTCACGGTAAGGACAGGCGCATAGTTCACATGTTGTACACAGAGGCACAGGGTAAATTCTCTAGAGGATAGGAATCTCAAAGGGAAAAGGAGACGCTACATATCTTGCAGGGAGTCTTGCTTTTCATGTATTTTCATTTTTTAAATGTGCATATGGGCAACGTGTGTATGAGGACTATGTTTGTAATTCTACAGTCAACCTTCAGCCTTCTTCTTTGCATGTTTCTACAACCTTTGTAGAAACTGCACTGTAGGTTCTTGCTGTATGTTCTCACCAAACTTCTTCCCTCTCTTTTCAGTGGACGTGAGCACAGCAGCGCTGCCCACGCAGGTGCCCCCCACCACCACAGCCATCCTTCCCATGGACCTGCGCGTAGTAGACCACCCTCACCACCACCACCACCAGCAGCCTCCCTTTGGCCTGGTTCCCCAAACCCACCCTATACCGCCCACCTCCACAGCATGCCCCGCATCAGCCGAGCCGGGCCGCGGGCCAGTCATTGGTGAGTCGGGATGATCTCTGGTGATCATGTCTTGAAGCTGAAAGTTGTTGTTGACTGTTTACTACAAACACGCCCCTCGCTCCAGATGCTTGGAACGATAAACTCTCTTTAAACTCATATAGGCCACCCGGAGCAGCAGCTGCAGCAGGAGCTGGTGGCACTGAAACATAAGCAGCAGCTCCAGAGACAGCTACTGATCGCAGAGTTCCAGAGGCAGCATGAACAGCTGTCACGACAACATGAAGCCCAGCTTCAGGAACACATCAAGGTGAATTTGTTGGACAGGGTGGGAATGGAATTATAGGTCCTTTCCTCTCCTGTCCTTTCCTCTCCTCTCCTCTCCTCTCCTCTCCTCTCCTCTTCTCTCCTCTCCTGTCCTGTCCTCTCCTCTCCTCTCCTCTCCTCTCCTCTCCTCTCCTGTCCTCTCCTCTCCTCTCCTCTCCTCTCCTCTTCTCTCTCTTCTCTCTTCCTTGTCCTCTCCTCTCCTGTCCTCTCCTCTCCTCTCCTCTCCTCTCCTCTCCTCTCCTCTTGTGCTCAGCAGAAACACACCTTCTGAAGGACAGCAGGAAGCATGTGCATGTGTACACTTAAGTGAGTATGGTGTTGTAATTTGATCTGGTGGCAGTACTTTGCTGCTTAGTCATCTACATGGCGAGACCATTGGCCCCAGTACACCCAGCGTGTGTGTGTGTGTGTGTGTGTGTGTGTATGTATGTGTGTGTGTGTGTGTATGTATGTGTGTGTGTGTGTGTGTGTGTGTGTGTGTGTGTGAGCATGCGTGTGTGCATGCATGAACATTTTGTATGTGACTCATTCCACTAAAAAGCCTCACTGGTGTCAGCCAATAGGGACGATCAGTCTGGGCTTAAAATAACTCCCCAGTGTGTCTTCCAGTCTGCTCAGTCGTCAGGTTAGCGTGCCTCTCATTATGGACTCAAGGCTAGTGAAGTCATGCATTTTAGAAAGGCTCAATTTCAAATTAGTGATTCTTTAAAATAAGCCATGGCTGCACTTTGTCAAAACAATATCTCCTCAGCTTTGATATTTTGTACGTGTCTCATCTGCTGTGTCCCGTTGTACTCTTTCTTCCTTCAATGTCCTTGTTTCTCTCTCTCTCTCCTCCAGCACCAACAGGATTTACTGGCACTCAAACACCAACAGGAGCTTTTGGAGCATCAGAGGAAGATGGAGCAGCAACGTCAGGAGCAGCAGCTGGAGAAGCAGCAGCGGGAACACAAACTCCACCAGCTCAAAAACAAGGAGAGGGGACAGGAGAGTGAGTAGCAACTGTTGTGCAAGTGTGAAGAAAATTACCAACCGTTTATCTGAGGGATGCTGCGCACTTGTAGTTACAAAATGTGTCACAGAGTTAGAGCTGGACGGGAACTGAATGTCATCATTATACAGCATCAAAATAATGCACTTTGTTCTATTATGATGAAAAAGTTATGAGGGGCCAAAAGAGCATCACTCCAGTGAAGAGGAAATACTGAATAAAAACTAGTTGTATATGTCACAATCTTTCCGTCTGTTCCTGAGTTCCACTGCTGAACATTCCGGTGTCACAGTGGAGTTGACGTTTGACCGTTTGGATATAAAATGTCATCACTTCATCATTTTTATCCTATTAGGTATTTGTGTTAAATTGTGTCATAATTAGCGTATGAATTCTTGAGTTATGGCAACAAAAAAAAACATGTTTTGTGAGGTCATTGAGACCTTGACCTCTGACCTTCGACCCTCAAATCTAATTAGTTCATCCTTGAGTCCATGTGAATGTTCCTGCCAAATTTGAAGGGATTCCCTCAAGGTGTTATGGAGATGTCACATGCACAAGGCCAAAAATGAGATTTGTGAGGTAACAGTGACCCTGACCTTTGACCTCATCCCACCAAAATCTAATCATTTCATCCTTGAACGTTTGTACCGAGTTTGAAGAAATTCTCGGGGCGGAGGCATAAAACTTGTGATGAAGAGATCAGTTATGTGTGTTAGTGTGTCTGCATTCCCATGGTTCCCACGAGTAAGCTCTAAACAAAGCTGTCATGTTTGACCGAGCATATATTCACCCTCCGCCTCCTCGACACTGCCAACATCTGTTGTAACTGTGCTGAAGATCTGTGTCATTTTATCACAGCAGGTGCGAGAGAGCCTTGACCCTCATAGCGCCTCTGTCACAGCACCTGTCCTTATAGCACAGCAGTCAGAGCAGCCTGACCTTGCACATTTACCACAGGGAATTTCAGAATAAGACGGCCAAGGCAAGACAAGGAGAGCAAGACACTGAAGTGGCTTTCATCCTTATAAACTGCTCTTGTTTCCTAGTTGCAACAATATGGTTAAACCAGCCAATTCACTGTAGCCTGTTGACTTCATCCATTTATTTTTCATTTATTCTTAAAGGATGGTTTTATTTGAATTTAGGTTTCATTATTCCTCCACACCGGTGACCGCCATGGCCATGTACGCACTGACGTACGTCCCTCCTGAACGCCATATCCCCGGAATTTCTTCAAATTTGGACGCTTATTATAACACAATTTAACACAAATATCTAATAAGATAAAATGATGATATTTTATATCCAAAAGGTCATCTTCATTGTGACATCATAAAGGTCTGGTCATTATTCAGTGCTGTAACTCAGGTACATAAGCGGAGATTGTGACCATATTTCCAGCAATTTGACTGGCTGGTGGAGACGTACAACAGTGAGGCACTAATTCTACTTTTAGTTGCTTCGGCCATCATTAGATTTATTATGATAATGTCGTCATCAGCAAAGGATAGGCTGAGATCTGGAAACATGGTGACATTGCTAGAGCAAAGCAAGTTCTTAGCAATTAACTTAGTGTGTAAATATCCTCCTAACTGATAGACTGAACCTTTGAAACCAAAGTTGACTGTCTGATCTGCTGATCCAGCTACAAAGTGCTCTTACCTTTCTATGACAAATTAATGCTCTCTTGATATTGATACGTACGTGACCTTTGACACAGTTGGCTGGCAGGAGGAAAGTTTTGTGGCAGTTATTTATCTGTGCCAAGCCAATTGTTTTTCTCGTTCCTGTAGTTGTTGTAAACTACATAAATAGACGGCGGCATGAAAGACTTGACTCACTATGTCGACACTACACGAATATAATCGCCTTGCCTTGCCCTGCCTTACTGAATCGCACATGTTACTAAATGTTTTTCACCCACTTCATAGAGCACTTGAACGGTTCTCATAATGTGGGGAAGAGGCATCCTTTTCTCGCGCTGGTGGGTGTTTGTACGCATTTACATGAATCAGAAATATTGTAAATGGCTTGATTTATATTTTGCTGCATACACCTGCATGCATATTATTTAAACTTCTAACTTATTAAATAAACTCATCAAAACAGATGATGTTTTATTATGATTATTGTTAGCATGGCTGTTAAATGGTCTCATGTGGGTGTTTTTGGACGGCCTACGATGAATACAAATCCTTTTAAATATAGTTAATGGTGGATGCACATTTGGAACCGTGATTTTCTGCCAGTAAAAAGTCCTTTTTCTCAACCATTCTCCGCTGGACAAAGTGAGCCTACAGTTTGACGTCTACGGAAAGAGCATTGGGTTGTAAACAGAGGAAGCTTTGTTAAGTGCTGCAGTAAATTGCATAGAAGGCAGTCTCATAAAAGCCAATTTGCTTCAGTGGCAAAGCGGACATATTGGGATGTCAGCACTTCCAGCTGCACCGTGATTTAGAGATCATATATTAGCTGTTGTCGCTTTCACATACTCTTTTTTTCACCACTTTCTCTCTCCAGCTTCACATCACCTGTTATCACTCCCCCTCTGACATTCTTAGAAAAACACACCTCCGTTGATTTTCCTGTATTCTCAAAACACCTATTTTTTTGCCCCCTTTATTGCTCTCCTCACTCCGGTTCTCATATATTTTTCTTTGTGGTCTCTCATTCCCTCTCACTCATCTCCCTCCCTGGACAATTTGCTTGTAGCTGTGAAATGAGGGTGGTAATTGAGGAGAGACCGGGAGCTGAGTGAAGCTCATGATGTGTGTCGAGACGAGTCACACCGCACCGCCGTCGTCTCTGTGGAGATTCAGTGAAACTCTGATGCAAGATTGTGCACTCTGCATGCAGCTAGAAAACCCATTATCTGTCAAAGCATGGATCGATGCTTCACGTCGGTGTCACAGATTGAACAGGGGGTACAGTACAGTGGAGGCACTGAATCACAAAGCTCTCCAGAAATGCAATACTGGAAAAAAGTATTTTTGTATAGGGACAACAGGGCTCTGTGTGTTTGAGTGTGTGAATAGAGTTCGTTGGAGAAATGCACTATACTCACCTTTGGTCATTGTTCCCCCCCATACCCCTGTCTCCGTTTAGGTGCAGTTGCCAGTACAGAGGTAAAGATGCGGCTTCAGGAGTTTGTCCTGAACAAGAAGAAAGCCCTGGCTCAGCGAAATATAAACCACTGTCTGCCCAGCGACCCGCGCTACTGGTATGGGTGAGTGTCACAGCCGACCACCACAGAGCCACTCGCGGTTTTGACAGTGTGTGACACCGATGACCACTTTACGCAGTGTAACGTCTTACATTCGAGTTTATGTCAGCATGAAATTCCAATTTACGCAGCGTTTGATTCGTGAGAAACACACACGGCGCGTTTTTCTGTGCTCCACATGCAACTCAGTGTCACTCATCATGTCACCTACCTGCTTGAAATTGTGAATGTGCATCCTTCATGCCAAGCACTGTTGTCAAATTCAAAGAATGCCTTTATTTTTCTTCAGAAAAGCCTTTTGAGCTTAAGATTATAAACTTAAACCCTTTTTTATATGTACTGTACGAAATGCATACTTCACAACAATTTGCAGTCTTCACACACTTCAACACTACACTACACTATAAACTTCAACCTGTAACTGGTGAAGGAAGCGGGTGAAGGACAAGATCATGCCCTTTTTTTTTTCTCTTTCACACTCTTTGATCTTTGATTTTTGAAGGTTACTTTATAATACTGGAAAAAGGAAAAGGAAAAAGAAGAAAAAATACGAAGGATTCAAAAGCTGTCCACATTGATGAAACCTTATATTTATGAGATGGTATTGGTTTTGTGGTTTTTGATTGTTGCCTTTTCATATCTAAGCTCAAAAGTTGTAAAAAAGTATCATTAAAGTCCCTCATCACCGTGTCTTTGTAAACCCTGTGCTGTTGTGAACCTCTGCTGTGTGGGTATTTGTCATTGATGTGCTCTTGCGTGCGGTGAATCCCTGCGAGTGGAAGACGTTTCCGACATCAGCGTTAGCCTCTCAGTCCTTCGCCAGTCGTCTCTGAGTTAAACTACAGAGAAGATGTTGAAAGAAGGAGCCTTTCTTTCTGTCAGCGTTTGTTGTCTGTGATTGGCAGCTGGCTCTCTTTGAGGTGTGTTTGTGTTGTGCGAATGTTTGAAGTGGGCAGAGAGAAAAGACAATTGCACCTCTCCTGTGCTTTCAATATTTGAAGAGGCTTTAAGCATTTTTCTGCCAAGGCAGACGCACACGTAACTTAAAGTGTCTGCCATCGCTAAGGAAAATGCTTTTCACTGTCATTGCTATTTCCAGTTTCCTTAGTCTCCTACCTGTTTGCTTTCTCCCCAGTTCTTCCATACGTGTATTCCCTCTTTTCAGTCTCATCTCCCCTTTCATCCTGCATCTCTCACCTTCTCCGTCTCTGTCTCTGTGCGTTCTTCACTCACCTTTCCAACAGTAAACTAAACCTTCGCCTCTTTGCTCTCTTAAGGTGAAAAGGAGAAGATGCTCTCAGCTCTCTGTCTCCATTCCTTCTCTCTATTCTTTGTCTCTTTTTTTTTCATTTCACTCACATTGTTGTCCACTCTCTGCTGTGCCTTTTTAAGGTGGGTGATGGAAGCTATCTCTGTCTATCTCTGTAGTGCGTGCGTGCGTGCGTGCGTGCTTGCGTGCTTGCGTGTGTGTGTGTGTGTGTGTGCTTGCGTGTGTGTGTGTGTGTGTGCATGACAGCAAGCTTAGCAAGCATGGAGCCAGACTTTACTAGGAAAGAATCACATTGCATGTTATAGTAATAATGTTTTAATGTTTTTTCTTTTTCTTTTTACATCTTTTTGTAGAAAAACCCAGCACAGCTCTTTGGACCAGAGCTCTCCTCCCCAGACGGCGTTGTCAGCGTACAACCACCCAATGCTGGGCACATATGACTCAAAAGACGACTTCCCTCTCCGCAAAACAGGTACAGACAAGCACTGTGATGCTGCTGAGGTTTTGTTACTTCCTCATGACCATATTCCTCCACCTCTTACAGCCAACTACCCCTGCCTGTCCAGAAGGACACCCTAATCTTCCTTTTCCGTACATAAGCAAATGAAATGGCTCATTGGGTTTCAGAGTCAGGCAGATGAACCAGGAGCCACTCAGCGGAGGATTAAAATGAGCCCCTAAAATATTCTTAAAAAAAGATATCAAAGGTTATTTTATGAGGTCTTTTGAACCATGTTAATGTAAATGAGGGTGGATGGGCAGAGAGGGGAACCACTTGAAAGTAGAACATTATAACCCCTAAAATCGGTTGAAAATTGTCTTAAATCAACTCACAAAAATTGTAATAATGACCAAAAGAGATCATGGGGCCTTCACAGACAGACATACGTACACATGTGGGATCTTTAAAAAGAAAAAAGAAAAAAAAAGCCAGTTTGCTCTTTCCTGTTTTAGACTCATTCACACTGATATTGACAAACACATTCAAGTCACACTCCTTCACAGAGGTTGAAGATCGCACTGTTCAACAAAACAACTCTGGACTACTCCGAGACGTGTCCCGGGAAACAAACCGCAGTTCCTGCCTTTTGGATGCCTCAGACTGTTATTTCTCTGTCCTTCTGTCCATGTCAAATACGGCCAAGCTGTGATTATTCACTTAGCGTCAGCAGCTGCTTTGGCAGTATCGCTGCCTGCTTTCACAGCTGGTGGCTAAACTCTGTGTACTCTGCACTCCTGCCCACCTGCTGTGAACTGGAGGCAGGAGAGATTTATCCTGGCACACAACCTTAGACCGCAAGTTTCAACTTTCAGGGACACTCAGATGTAATTCAGAGATTCGGTTCGCCAGTGGTGCAAAGAAATATTCACATCTCACAGTTTCACAGTTCGTACCGACACGAGGTCTAACAGGCTGTGTTGTACATACGCATCGCTATGGATATGTAAATTAAAATGACTTTTAGGAGAAATGGAGTTTGAGATTTGAAGTCTTTGTGTCAGTTGTGCGGAGAGGCAGAAAGGGAACACTGACTGCACATGTGCCCACACATGGCACGGCTGTTGAGGAACTGTTGTGTCAATAGTGAGCAGATATAGATCAGATTAGACTGGCAGACAGAGAGATGAACTGTGTTCAAGAGGAAGTGAGTGACAGTGGCCGACCACAGTTGTGCGCCACTCTGACGACTGGAACTGTCACACATGACGTTTTTGCCTGTGGTGAGCCGCGCTGCTAATGTATGCGTGTAAATTATAAATGTACGTAAAGAATTCTTCTTCTCTCTTGCAAGTCCAGGCGTACAGTGGATTACAACAGGGGTCCATTGTCCGAGTCTGAGAGGCTTTGTGATTATGGCTGTTAGAACACAGAGGGCCACTTTGAATGCTGCGGCAGGAAGTCTGTCAGGCCTCCATGACAGACGCAGACTTGTCATGATGACCCCTTTCTCCCTCCCTCACTCATTCAGAGAGTCGCACACATTCCCATACCACCCTGTGCACTGAATATTGAAAGCGTGCAGGGTATCCCCATGCAGTATAGCACTTTCACATTCTTTAATCCAATGCATAGCTTTACAATTTGATGCTCCTGTTCAGCGCAGAGAGCAGTGAGTGAGGTGAAGAATCTCTTTTAAAGGACATTAGGTCACTTTTTAACCCACTGACCAAGATTAGACCCATTTCCTCTAACGTCATTGGAAATGACTCGTTTTAACACTCACTTCCTGCTTCTACATTTGAGTCCCCGCTGATTGTCGGACTTGTTAGTGGACTGTTACCACTTCTGAATAAACCCAGTATTTTATACATCTAATCTCAGGCCCCTGCCATGTTGATTGTAATGTTGGATGATAATGGAATTTAAACTGAGTGCACTGGTGCACCCGTGGGCAGCTCTGTCATGTTATAAATGGCATTTGAATTAGCTAAAATGTAAATAAGAGGGGAAAAATCACCATCTGCTTTTCCACCCACCTCACTCGTTTACCACTTGGGTGTCACAACAATCAGTAATGGACGCCACTGATTTTAACAAGCTCGTGGCACCTCCATGAAAAGGCCTCATTAGTTGTAACTGTCAGAGGGAAAATGTCAGCCAGCTTTCGTGCATTGTGCTCATATCCACTTCATATGCTCACAGGAGAGACAACTAAATATTTTGATGTTATTTAAGGACAAGTGTCTCTTCAAAACTGTAACTAAGAATTGATAGCTTTTAATCATAGCTCCCTGTTCATACAGTAATCGAGCTGTAATCCAATTGGATCTTGTTTATTTGCCTTCATGTTTCTAGAAAATATGTAAAAGACAAATATATCTGTCTATATGTCTGCCTGGGTGATTACGTCCCATCTAATATATCTTCCTAATGTATCAACCACATATGATATTTCAGGGAAGCGCTGTCGATGAGTTTCAGAAAACTACTCTATTGATTTCTATAAATCTCTCTCCCTCCTTGGAAGAGCGGTACGGCTTCCCCCAGCATGATTATAGCAGCTCGGGACTCCCATTTGTCAAAACAGTTGAGCAACTGATCAATATGTTTTGTATGAGAGAACCAGTTTCTTCCTACACTCCCGATTGAAATACTAAGCACCACTTGTAGGGATGTTTAATCTGGTATTGATATGCCGTCAGATGGGCAGTGTGAAGGGTTTTGTACAGTACTACATAGCATGGAAATTAAATATGCAATGCTTGGATTCAGGGCTATCATGTGTTATTTCACTTCCTGCTGTTTCCTGACAAGAGAGGATGTAAAGTTACAGAAGCCAGAATGTGGCAGGAAGTCTGAAAAATTTAAACTGCTGATGTGCGCCTGGGTCATCACCACCATAAAGTAGGACAGTGATGTATGCTGTAACGAGGCGACAAGTCCACCTTTGCCAAAGGTTGCTTACGCTTGCACAGGAAGAAGATGAAGGAGAAAGGCTCAGCAACGAAGGAGAGGTGGCAGAGGAAAGAGAGAGACGTAGGGAATTAGAGGAAAAGAAGGAGAGGAGGGCATGGATGGATGGAGGCGAGGGAGGGAGGGAGAAAGGGCTGTAGTAAAATGCCAGCGTCAGCAGTAAAACCAGTCTGGGCCCTCTGCAGCGAGTGTGTTCGCACATGTGCACACTGGCGTGCTTTTGCCCAGTCGGCATTAACACCCTTCAAAGTCACTGTGTCCTGAGGTGAACACCCCCACTGCGACCACGGTCGTACTTCACCTTCCCTCCCTTTCTCATTTACTGTCCTCATAACCTCCTTCTGACCTTCCATTTCTCCTTCTATCTCGCTCATCTCTCTCTCCATCCACTCCTCCTTTTACTTGTCCATTTCTTAATTGGATGCACAAACACAACCTTGGTCGCAACCTTCCATTCCACTGTTGCTCTGTGCTCTCTTTCCTCTTCCCTGCAGCTTCTAACACCTTTGCAGCCCACTGTTAGTAGATCCTCTCAGTGTGATAATGTTTCCTGTGACACCTAGTTGATATTTAAAAAATATAATGTAAGGGATGTATTAAACATAATGTTTGTGTATGATTTAGCACGTGAATATCAAGAGATACTCATGGCCTCGTTTGATGGCGGTGCTTCCAACACCATGGCTCATATTCAAGCTGTTTAGACTTTAATATGTATTATTAGGATGTCATCTGAAACAGCACAGCCAAACATGCTTCCCATCATTAACAAAATGATGAGGTTATCATTTAAGGTTGATCAAAGCACATTCAGAAGATTGTTGAAATGTTTGGTTTTTATATTGTAATAATAATGGCAACAATTGTCAAAATCCTAAACTACAATTCCCTTTGCAAAAGACTAAAATTGAACTTGAATGCACTGTGCTTCTTCTCTCATAGTCTTTTCTTTTCCTCCAGTTCGGCTAATGCACAGCATTTTATCCCGACCCACCCCATCCTAATTAACAAAGACTTAGGAAGAGTGGCCTCCACTCAGAAGAAGCACTTTTTTAAATAATTGAGTTTAATAACTTCAGCAGCATAGTTCCCCTTACAATTGAAAGTGCATTTGAAAAAGTACTTAGACATTATAGATTCACTATAGGTCAGCTCATCCCCACTGACCGGGAGGTATAGTGCCTGCATCTCTTTGAAGTACATTAAAACTTGGTGAAGATTCATCCTACCTTGATTAGCATTCAAGGCTGCAGGAAGGAAGGACCAGGGGGGTTTATAATGACCCTGAATACATCTTCTAACAAAGAATACAGCACACAAAGAAGACGCATCAAAAAGCCCTGCTCCTTTTCTGAAGAGTGTAGTTTGGTCTCTGTGAGACAAGGTCGTGGAACGAGCACAGGGTCAGTCGTTGGTCAGCTGTCCAGCTTTGGCTAATTGAACGGAAGGAAGCCAGTGGAAGAGGGAATAGAATAAAACTGCCTGTGTTTGGTGTAGTCTGGCAGAGAGACACCAAGGCAAGACTGGCCAGAAAAGGTCAGGCTACTCACCAGCACAGCTCCATAGCAAATCCAGAATGGGAGCATCTGTTTCCAAGCAGAGCCCCCGAGAAATGTAGAATCAGGCGCGCGCACACACACACACACACACACACACACACACACACACACACACACACACACACACACACACATACCCATACGCTTGCAAACACACATGAAGACACACTCTGGCAATTTTTTTTTAATTGAAAGTGTCTGGAAACAAGCAGTGTTCATTAGCAAAGCATGGAGGCAGCATCATTAAGCGTGGGGTCAAGATAGCTGCCAGTTGGCTGCTTCGGCTCTTGTTGCAGCGCTTCCTCCTGTCACATGACGACGGCTAACCTCAGCTCCTAAATCTGTCGGCCAACACATACAGTGTGGCCTGTAGGGACCAGCTCATTAGCCCCGCTACATGCCCGCGAACATGCTCCCACTTCTGTGGCCCAGCAGTCGGCCACTGAGCAGAGCGCCAGTTTAGAGGGAACTTGGGGTTTTAACAGATTAATATTTTTAGAATGGATGCCCCAATTTATAATCAAATACTTAACCCTGGCACTGCTTAGCTCTATCCACTTAGTTATCTGCTACTGCTACACATTTGTTACATGGGATGGGACCACATTTGTAGACAAAAACAGACATTGACAACCCATCTACTTTAAAGTTTTATCTTACACTAGATTGAAATGTCAAATCCTCAATCCTGTCCTCGTTGCTCTCTGTATCTCATCAGCCTCCGAGCCCAACCTGAAGGTTCGTTCCAGGCTAAAGCAGAAGGTGACCGAGCGCCGCAGCAGCCCTCTGCTGCGCAGGAAAGATGGTCCAATCACTACTGCCAAGAAGCGTTCCCTAGACGTGGCCGGTGAGTACTCCTGTCAACTGTTGTTTTAATCTGGTATCAAGATAAAGATGTGCAGAAACTTATTTTTGCAGTACTTTGACAGACAAGTTAAAAAGCCCAATTCTACCCCATATTTGGAACATTTTTATTAATATTTGAAAAAAAAAAATGTCTGTTTTGCATGTGCTTTAGAGTCTGCATGCAACAGTGCGCCAGGCTCAGGTCCCAGCTCCCCCAACAACAGCTCCAGTAACATCCCCAGTGAGAACGGGGTCACCATCTCCAGCAGCCCAGGAGAGGTAACCAACGTTATGTTACAAATGCACGTGTGTGTCTATTGGTGTTTGTGTGTATGAGACAAACTGGCGACCAGGGGTCCAAGAGGAGAGTGGTCATGTGTGTTTATTTCTCTGTGAGTGTCTCGGCTTGTTTTACTGTACTTGTGGGGACAGCCAGCTTTTATGGGGAGTCTGCTTTAGGGTGAAGATTTGTTTTTAGGATTAGGCATTCAGTTGTAATGGGTTGGGGGCTAGGGAATGTTTTATGTCAGTGATAGGTCCCCACGGATATAGTAAAAACAAGGATATATGTGTGTGTGTCAGAGAAATAGTGGAGAAGTAATGTATTGTATGTAACACTGTGTCTGCTTTGCATCTGAACTGTGTGAGTATTTACTGCACTGTGGTTGTGTGTGTCCAGGCCTCCCTGCTTCAGAGATTGGCTGCAAGGGAAGGTTCAGTTAGCCAACTCTCTCTATACACCTCCCCTTCTCTACCCAACATCACCCTGGGACTGCCAGCCCCAGGCCTCGCTAACACTGTGAGTACACTCACTACACATTATTCTACAATTGTACAATAGACTATTACTTATAAAGAATCTTTCAGGTTGTGAATGCGGAGGTTGTGGATTATAAAACTGAGGTTCCAAAGCTGGATTTTGTATTTTCATAGATTTCTGGCATGTCTTTCGAGTGTCACTCACTCCCTCTGATTCTCTCTCTCCATCTCACTCCCTCTCGTTTGTCTCATTTGACCCTTCTGTCTCCATCCATCTGCCTCTCTCTGTGCCTGCCTGCCTCTTTTCTTCTCCCTCCTTGTGTCTCAATCTCTTTCTCTCCCTCTCTTTTTTAGGTGGTATCAGGACACCAAGATGGTGAGAGTCATCTGCCTGCGTTACAGCAGGGCATTCCTCTGACCCCTCCTTTCCTGCCCACTGCCCACCTGCCCTCCTACTTGGCATCTTCAACGCTGGACAGGGAGGGGGCTGGAGGGGGCACAACTGGTCACAACCCCCTTCTCCAACACATGGTACTGCTGGAGCAGAGCCATAATCCAATGGGTCGGTGTTCTCTGCAACATTTATTTTCCTTACTTCTCAGCAGTGAGTAGCTGGTGTCTGCACTAATGCCTTTGCAGATCCCTGAAGCAATTTTCACACCATAATAATACTTTACAGTATATTCTTGCTGTCAGTCAGGCTATGGGGACTCCACATTACCTTAATTTGACTGTTGTAATACATGCACAGAAAAAAATCTTGGTAAGATGACAGCATATAAATTACATTGTAATTTTCCATGATTGGCGCTCTCTTTTATATGACTACAAGACTCATTTCTTGTTTTTAAGTTTTTAAAGTGATAGCATGTGTAAATATTATAAACAGGTAGATAAATAGCACTGCTCTTAGATGTAATTTTATCTTTGCCTTCACTTAAGGGAAAATTGATTCTTTTTTTATTGGCCTCATATTGGCAGTCCTATTAGCAAGAAAAACATTTCACTCTACAGCTTAGTTGCAGAAATTTTGAGAAGCTGCAGACTTGTGGAACACAAAAGTCCACAGGGCATTACAACCACAAGGGATTGGACATTGTTTTACAAAGGCCACAATTAAGTGGGCAAATAAAATTGAATTTTAGCTAATTGTGGCCAAAAAAAAAATGATGGCCCTAACTACAGAGATGTCACAATTTTTATTAAAATAATAAGAAGTTGCTTTAACCACTTTGTGTTTACCACAGTTGGTCTGGGTGGTCTTCCGCTACCGTCACCTACTGTCTCCAAGCTTGCGCGGGGCCACCGTCCCCTGGGGAGAACCCAGTCGGCCCCTCTGCCCCAGCAGCAGTGTGGACAGGCCCAGGCCCTGCAGCAGCTGGTGGTCCAGCAGCAGCACCAGCAGTTCCTGGAGAAACACAAACAGCTGTTCCAACAGCAGCAGCAACAGCACATCATCAACAAGGTAATGTGTGTGTGTGTGTGTGTGTGTGTGGGGGGGGGGGTGGGGGGGTATTTGTCCCTCTACATGACACTGATTTGGTTAATGTCTGTGAATCCTGTTTTAAGTCCAAGGGCTGGAAGAATCACCCTGCAATCAGCAAGTCTCCTAGCCAGTCTTTCTTGTCTGTGTTCACGTTTCCCTACTTCTCCCTGTCACCCTGGCAACTGTGCTCTAGAGGAAGCTGCCTCCATATATGGTCACACAGGAAATGACCGACTGCATCATCAGAGGTGTGCATGTGTAAGTGTGTGTGTGTGTGTGTGTGTGCGCGCGCGTATGTGTGTGTGTGTGTGTGTGTGTGTGTGTCAGGGTGTGTGTTTATGTGTGTGTTTGTGTGCATGCTGAAGTTCCTGTAGGATTACACCCCATTATATGTGTGTTGTTTGGCTGTTGGTGACTCCCTCTGCTTCTAGACTCCAGGCTGTTGTGAGTCCAGCTAATTAAGTAAAGCTCAGGTGTAAAACCAGGTTATTTTCATGTAACAGTAAGTTGTATGCATCCTCTTTTCTAGGAAACTTAAAAATGAGAATGTGACTAATGAGTTTGCATGGCATATTGAACGAGACTGGGTCAGAACCTAGTATATGGATGGACCATGTCATAAGCTGTTTGCATTCTGCCTAGTGTCAGATAGTTTCAACCTTTATCTGTTTGCTTCTCTCCTCCTCTCTGTGCTCTCATATACAGTATTTTAATACAGCTGAATTTCCAATAGAGGTGTTCTCATTTACATGTTTTTCTATTTCTGTTGTCAGACAACAGAAAAAGTGTGAAACAGTGACTGAAACAACAACATTTTAACCAGCACTCTCTTCCAAGCCATTTCCAAGCTGCTGCTAAAATCCAGATTTTATAACCATGACGTCGACTGACTAAATCACCAAACACAGAAGTTAAAGACAAAAACTGTGCTGTGATTTTGGCTATATTTACTGTAAGAAAGTTAGAAGCTCATTCATGTCAGCTGCCATGCGGTAAATTGAATGAGAGGCATAGCGAGTTTGCCTGTGGAGAAAAAGCCCAGGGGGCTCACGCTGGCAACTCGTTTTTTTTTGGGGGGGGGTTTTTTGTTGTTTTTATTTTAAAAGAAAGTTGCTGAAGTGGTCTGAAAAGTCAAAGAGTAACTTAGCAACAAAGGCACTAAGTTGTCGACACCAATCATTTTGAATGAGCAACGACCAATGGTGTAACCATATCACTAAGTCACGCAGCATTCAGCTGACCAATAGGGTAACTTCATCAGTCAGTCAGTGAGTGACATTCACATTCATAGAGCTGTCCACACTGTTGTGGCCTAGCTAGAGACCGAAACCGCATTTATAAACATTATGATTATTTTAATCATAGTATATTTATTCATCTTTTTTTATTTAAATTTGGCCGAGTGCTTTAAATGTACTGTGGATGTGTGACATAGAATGCCCTTCCCTAATTCAGTGTACCAGATCATACACACACTCACTTTAGATGCATGTTAGTTAATACATTTAAGGCTGGCGTTCCATTCGGATATAATCAGATAATACATTGGTGCACAGTACCAATCTGCAGTAGCTGATGCAGAGATATCCAATGGACTATGTAGTAATTTTTGTTTCCTGCTTGCTGTTGAGTGTGGCCATATTTTTGTGCTAAGTTGAATTTCCCTTAAAAAGAAAAAACAAACAAACTGTCTGTCTTACATAATCTGTCTGGGCACACGAAGTATGGAGTGCCCAGAAGGCCAACATTGCATGGGAAAAAGATTTGTTCACAAGCAACATGGAGAAATACTTGTGCTCTTTTTCAAACAGTTATTGCTATAATATAATTCAGTCAAATCAAAGGTTTGTAATGTCTAGAAATACAAACCACATGTGTAACCCTTCCGTCATCAGCACAATTACTACCACTGTAAGCTCCTTAAATCTGTTTCAAAGCAACCCAGGTTCCAAGTTTCTGCTCGGATCACTGAATCTGCACCTAACATTTAACTTTACAATAGAACAACACTACAAATTACTACCTCATTACCTTTGTGAGTGCATAAATATGGAACAAATATAAAAACGTGTACTCTCACTGCAGCTGATGTAATTCCCATTAGTTTCCCCTAACTGTATCAGCAGTCTTCAGTAGTAATATAACAATATTAATCCGCAATCTCTGGTGCTCCAGCCTTTTTTATCAGATTTTCCTCTTCTATATAAATCTAGATGTGTTACTATTACAGTCATTTGTTTTTGAATATTGGTGGCTAAGTGGTTAGCCCACTTGTCTCACTCAAATTATTGAGTCAGCTGAGGTTTCTCTCTTTAGAGTTTGTTGATGTGGACTTCTGCAGGCACTCCATTTTCCTCCCACTATGCTTGTAGGTGTTAATACTATATCTATGTCCAGTTGCCTAATCCTCTTTTTACATCTCTTCTGCATTTAGGTGCATACAAAGTAAAAAACACAATGCTTTTCATAAGTTGTCAGTGTTCAATTAACTTAAGCTCCAAGTTGAAGTTGTTGCTATGGAGATACATAAAGATGATGTTCATTCAGTTAACTGGAGCCAGGTATTCTTTTGTACTGCATGATCTGCCCTGATCTTAATTGCCTTAACTTTCTCATTCAGTCTCTGAATGAGATAAGTGTGACAGTGTAATTTGTTATAATGAATAGTTTGTCATTGTTAAACCAAGCTTGTATAAATATCCTTTACCAAAAGCAGAGATATATGATCAGGCAAGCAAAACCTTGAGTGAGTGATCTGTGTAATAGTGGCACAGATGATGTTCAAAGTATTGGCAGATTTTGTGGTTTGATGTCTTTGTGGTTGGAATTATATCCCCTCCACAAACAGTAAAACCACCAACAGCTGCGAAACTGGTTTTCACAGCGGCATTATAATTCGGGCATCTGCAGATAAGTAACATAAAAAAATGTACAGAATTTAATCTTATTAGATCACGTGTCCATCCTCATTGTCTGTGTTTTGCCTCTTTACTGTCTTTTGACGAACATGGCGCAACAGAAAATGCAAAACAAAAATAGTACAAGGAAATGCCACTGATTTCTCCATAATCAAGTCAGGTTCTTTAAAACTGCAACAGACTTTTGTTTAACATGAGGAAATACAGTTTTCCAGACAACAGTCTCTACAGAGTGATTTTTATCATAGTGATAAGGACCATCATTGCTGCCATTAAATTTGATTCTTTGTTTATGTACTGTGCTGTAAGTGCAACATTACAAACTATTCTTACAAATACCATGGTAGTATATTATGATTGGTTCCATTTATTTACCTTATTCACCATGGGAGACCCACTACTTTGTAAAACATGAGTCATCTGTGGCCTTCCTTCCTTTCCTTGTTCACATGTTTTAGTCAAGTCAGCAAGGAAAGTGGGCCCTTCCTGCAAACGTAAAGTTTGGCTTTAGTAGTTCGACATGTTGGCAGCAAAGAAAGGAATGAAAGAAGCTTGAAAGCGTTCCAGCCTGAGCCTGGTGCCTACCATGAATTACCTCAGACAGCTAAGGCAACACTGTGGTATACTCACTTAACTAATATTGTTGTGAAAGCGCGTGTGAGTATGTGTGTGTGTGCGTGAGAGAGATAGATATGTAGAGTCAACTAGTGTCAAGCACCTTTCCTTCTCCTCCTCCCACCCTCTCTGTCTTCCAACTGATTCAACAGGCTTATTTAGTGTCTGTCCCCCTTAAGGTTCATATCCCAGCAACTATTTCCTCTGTTAAAACAGAGGGGGAGAAAGAGCAAAACAAGAGAGAAAGGAAGAGAGAGATTCGGTGTAGCAGGAGTGGAAGAGTGTTTTGAGTTTGTTTGGAGAAGAGGGACTGGGATGAGGCAAGAGCCTGCTCTCTGACGTCAATGGACTGTTCCCTGGGCAATATGCCAGCCAAGTGTGTGCGTGTGAATGTGTGTGTGTTTGTGTCTTTTTTTCTATGTCTGTGTGTGTGTGTGTGTGTGTGTGTGTGTGTGTGTGTGTGTGTGTGTATATGTGTTCCATGCACAATCCGTGGTCCACTCCAATCATGACCTGCACATCAAGGTTGAGGTCTTTGACGACAGGGACAGGGACAGGGACAGGGACAGGGACAGGGACAGCTGCCACAACAAGACTCCTGAATTCAGCCCTCCACAATTCTTCCTCTCTTTCTCCCTCGCGTGCTTTGCTGAGTTTTTCTTCTCTGTTACAGGCTCAAGCAGAGTGAACTCACCTACATAAAATACAAATAGCCACAAGGATTCTTTGAGGAGTTTTTAAACACATACATAACCAGAGAGTCCAGAGTACAGATCTGGTTTATCTCTCTGTGTACAAAAAGTACAAGTGCCTGCCTAATGTCAGCTATTGTTTGATTAAACTTAAGGTTATTTACATTGTTGTTGTTGCACTGGAACCGATCAGTCGGCTATTTTTGGAATGAAAACACTTGTTAAAGTGGCGCAAGTTGTCTGGCTTCATGCATTGTTGTCCCTGATGTTCTCTCAGTTGAGAGAGCGAGTCTTCCCCTCCCCTCTTTTCTCAAGTCATTAAAGCTAAAATCTCTTTCTGTCCTGATTGGATTCTGGTTTCCTTTTTTTTTTTTTTTTATATATGACTTTCTGAAACTTACTGCTAATAAGACTCAAAAGGCAGTTTGAGTCAATTACACACACAGTATGGTATAGTTATTGCTGTATGCATTCACTGCTTCTCATACCAGTTAGTTCTTTAATCTTGGCCTGACATTTGGTGGACAATTTTGATGATAATGATTGTTTATTTTGAGATGACGTGACCAAGTGGAAATTACACCCATAATCATAGCCATGTTCTATAAAAGCTCTTACCCGAACTTCTCTTTTTTTCCTCTAGATAATGTCCAAGCCCAGCGATCAGGTCTCAGCCGCAGGCTCCAGCGCGTCAGGGCCAGCCAGGCAGCATCAGAGTCACCCAGAGGAGACGGAAGAGGAGCTCAGGGAGCACCAGGGGCTGTCCTCCTCATCATCGTCGTCCTCCTCTACCTCTGTGCAGGAGACGGGGCCACTACGGGGTTTGGTCATCAAGCAGGAGCCCCCAGACATCCAGGAGCAGGAGGAGAGGGAGCAGAGGGAGAGACAGGCTGAGCAAGATTTCTTGTTCAGACAGGTGAGGAGAATGGGTGGGGTGAAGGTGGGAGTGGGAGTGTACATAAGGATAAATGATACAGAGATAGAAGATTAGAAGAGGACAAGGTGAAAAGAGAAAGAGGACAGTGAGATAAAGAGTGAATTATGGAAACTGGAGACTGACTGGGTGTGAAATTAGTCCGTTTAAATACAGATTCCACAAGTTCAATCTGCTTTTCAGACATTTCAGTGTAAGAATAAAAACAAAGAAACTGAAACTGATCTGTCTGATGATTTCATACTTGCATCTGAAGGTGCACTCAAATTCTGTCTCTGTGACATTGTCATATCTCTCTCTCTCTCTCTCTCTCTCTCCCCATATATATGTATATATATATATATATATATATATATGCATTGAGGTTGACAATGACTGTAACAAGACACTAGGGAGGATTGTTTTTCATTGGACACCTAAATTTTGTGGGTCTGACAGCAGTGACAGATGGCACTAGTAGTGACTGACTGAAACATTACACTCTAAATTCGATCTGCCTTTTTTTCCCCAACTGACTATCCAGCCCACTTTCAGGCATAATCTCACCTACTGTGTATTTACATCCCCCACCCGCCACCCCAAGTCACACAAAACACACTTACGCACACTACACATACACTGCTAATGCAGAATAATGTGTTCTCATGAACGGCTCAGGGCATGTATATCTCCTCCACACTACTCCCTAGAAAGACCCTGTATATACAGTCACTTATATGCTTTCAAAATACATACTGTACTCCCACACAAAAACCCACTGTTGCACAGAGGGTCTTTAATTTGGCATTACTTGTCCATCATACATTCTCTATCTCTGTGTGGCCACACACACGCACACCCATGCACAGTCAGGACACCATGTCCTCATCTGTCTTGCCCATCCCTGCTGTCCACTCAGCCAAATTCAATCAGGCGCTCCTCTCACTGTCGCCATGGCGCCCATAGTGTAAGCAGGCATGCCCACCGGAATAAAATAACAGGAGTGCATGGTGAGCCTCCTTTGAGTGGAAAGAGCACCCAAATATTTAAGTCAGGTACATACAGATACTTCCCATGCGCTTACATGAGACACTTTCAAACTAAATCATTAATAAGTACATGTTCAAAAACCTGACTGTCTTCTCACTTTGCTTGTTGTTATGGAAGGATTATAATGGTTTATAATTGTCTCGTATTTGAGGCAGCTTCCTTGAAAATCACATGGAGAGAATAATCATTATGTGTAGTCAAGTAGAGAATAAAGTGGTTTTAGATTAATAGCATCCATTATCCCTGTCAAAAGACAGCACTAAGAACAGTCCTTACAACTGAAGACTCACATGAAGTGTATTTTAGGAGCTCAGGGTTAACAACTTGTCATTCCATAAATGCATTACTACTGTTTTCAGAAATGTGTGGTATTGTCATGTGAAGCCCATTTGCTGCTTCAGCTCTATAATGTAACAGAAAACTAGTATGTCTGTGTGTAACAAAATCTAAACTCCTATTGATGCAACCTATGTGTATTCTATAATGTAGCAGCTTAAAATCTATGAGTATCTAGTGCCATCTTCTGGCAAGAGAAAGATATTGCAGTCCAACGCTCACACGGTACATGTCACTGTGTGTTTGTCTGTGAGAGCAGCAGGCTCTGCTGTTAGAGCAGCAGCGGATTCACCAGTTGAGGAACTACCAAGCCTCCATGGAAGCGGCCGGGTTATCAGTCAGCTTTGCAGGACACCGCCCCCTCTCCAGGGCTCAGTCATCTCCAGCGTCTGCCTCCTTCCCCATGGTAGTACAGGAGCCGCCTGCCAAGCCTCGATTTACTACAGGTCTGTTGAAAATTATAATAATAAGGGTGTTTAGATGCTGCAGCTCAGTATGAAACGAAACTGAATATAAGTGGAGTAATCTAGAAACAAACCGTCATCCTGCTGATTGCAGGTTAGAGGGAATCTTTCCCTGGAAATACACAGCATGATGAGCCAACTTACAGTGGCTGTTTGTATACACAAAGCTGTTGCTAGGTATTCTGCTCCCCTGACAATATAAACCTCTGTAAGTGTAATTTAGTGTACAGAATCGCCTCGTCTCCCTGGACCCGCTCCAGATGACCTTTTCTTTGTGATGCAGCAGGTGCAATAGATAATCAGACTTGATGTCTGACAGTGTGATTATAGGAATCCTGCTGTCAAAGATGCATTATCACTAGAACCTCTTTCTCTCTGTGTGTGGGTATGTTTGTGTGTGACGGTGTGTGTGTGTGTCTTCTCCAGGTCTGGTGTATGACTCTTTAATGCAGAAGCACCAGTGTATGTGCGGCAACACCACCAGCCACCCGGAGCACGCTGGACGCATCCAGAGTATCTGGTCCCGACTACAGGAAACAGGCCTAAGGGTGCACTGTGAGGTAAGGCCACAGTCACACTTTAACACAGAGGTATGGCTAAAGGCCTGATGTATAAATGCATTATGAATCATTCCCAAAGAAATAGAGTTGATAGACACAGTTAATGATGGATAACACAGTATTAAAATCTTCATTATTGCCTGTGGGTTTGCTTCCACAAAATAAGAATAAACTTTGATCCGATCAGTTGTTTGTAATGTCTTGTGCAGGTAGTGTCTGTCCACTTTGAACCGACAGACAGAATTAACAAGCACCTACTGGATTACTTGACAAATAAACCTAGCAGGCAATTGTGTCCTGTCCTACAGTGTCTGTAAGTCAAGTATCAAAAACCGTCCACATCAGCTATGTGCAGTAATACCCTGTGCAATAATATAGTGTGGTTTATAAAAGCATGGTTATTATACCACATGTGCAGTATCATAACACTGCAGAGAACTGAACATGATCAGTATCCAGAATTCAAAGATAAACTATTATCCTTGTAAGTCTTTGAATGCATATCATATTAAAGGCTGTAACAAAAAACTAAATAAACAACACATTTACTGAGGAATATCCCATAAAATAACTTTTATGTGTACAGATGCAACATGTCAAACCTTTAGTTTGTATGCTGCATAATAAACAATTAAATTATAAGTATATTAGCAGTGAATGTCTTAGTTTAGCTCTTAGCCTTTGTGTATATTTGTTGCATATTGTTGCTATTTTATTACTATATAGTCATTTGAAAAGCCTACAATATTTGTAAAACATTTTTCACCACTCAATTTGAAGTCACAGGTGCAGATTGTTATCGTGACCAGTAGGGGGCAGTGTTCAGTCATTTTCAGTTGACACTTGGCTTTGCCAGTAAAAACCACACACTTTGAGGTTATGGTTTGAGAATGATCCAGAATTAGTTTCCCCTCCTTAGTTCTGACTTGCAGACACCACTGAGCTCTCTCTATATGCACTTCTTCTTCCTGAGCCTCACGCAATGTGACTACATTCATGCAGCACTTCACTCTGCCATTGCCCCCTTCTCGGGTGACTATGACAGTTTGAATGGTGAGCATGGAGACTCAATTAAATGTTCTGTTCTGTTTTTTTTTTTTGTTTTTTTTCTATCATCCTCTCTGTTCTGTTCTGTGTGCAGTGTATCCGCGGTAGGAAGGCCTTACTGGAGGAGTTACAAACAGTCCACTCTGAAGCCCACGTCATGCTGTACGGAACAAACCCGCTGCGGCAGAAACTAGACTGTAAGACATACGTTAACACACACACATTGACAAATACACTTAATCCAGATGTGCGCTGCTCCACCACCTACACTACAGATCTCCCACAAGATTAGTCTAATAAACTGTGGAAGCTGTACCACTGAAATTAATGAGTGTTGAGTGTAACAGTGTCTCACAGCTGGCGCAATCACAGTTAGGCAAAAGCATTCAGTGCACAATTGCAGTACAAAGCAAGCAACACACTGCACATATAGCTTTACATGTATACATGCAACATTAAGTTTTCAGTAACTTTGTCCTGTTGAGCAGAGTCTCCCACTAGCATGTCATGTGACTGCCATGAATCTGCAGTGTCTGCTAAAGGAATCAGCTCTAATGCTTAAACCGTGTCATAACAAAAGGTCCAATCTAATAAAGTCTCTGAGGTGTTACGATAAGGTGAGGACCCGCTGAAGCTGTTAAACTAAAAGTTGCGCAGGCTGCTTAGTCACTTAGGTCGAGCCTTTGTGGCTTTAAGAGCAGGTGTAGCCAAAGCAGCCTGTGTGTGTGTGTGAGAGAGAGAGAGAGAGAGAGAGAGAGAGAGTGCTAGAACCTAAGGGACAAACCCCAGTGGTCATCTTAGCTTTCATTCCATTGAGGACATAAATTCCCCTTATTATTACTGCGTACACAGGAGTATTACCAGATACTCCTGTGCGAGGTTCAGCACGCAGGTGGGTTTGCGTACACAATGGAGATGGAGAAGAAGAAAGTGAAAATACAAACTGTAATAGACCCAGAGAGGTGGCAACTGGGCAGGGATTAAAGTATTCATAGAAAAGATATTACATATCTGTTGGGGACTGATTCTTTTTTTCAGACACGTGTTTTTAGCAGGTTAGCAAGTAGCTCAATGAGACTTGGACTCCTAACCTTGCTAATGCGAGTGCCATGCTCTGCCCATTGAGCCTCAGAGGTCTGCTCTTGTACTCATGAAACTTCACACTAGTCCGGTTGTCAACACTAGATTGGGATCGGTTTAAGCTTTGAAACATTTGGCAGTGCAGTTTTAATGTTGCAGCCTTTTTTAAAAACACGTGAGCAGGTTAATCAGGAAAATGAAAAATATAAAAAGGAAAATAAAGTGGAGCTTCCTCAGAAGTAAAAGGTTTCATCTGTTTGAAATTATGAAAAGCTTTGGATGCATTTTGAACCGAAATGAAAAATCAAGGTTCAAATTCAGAGAAAGGAAAATGTAATTATAGTTTACATTTGAAATGAGTCAAATCAAACTAGTCAATTATTTTTCTGTTTATTCTCTGATCTTTCAAAAAAACTGAAGTTTATTTATTTCAGTTTTCTATAAAAAAAAACAAACAAAAAAAACCAGATCCTTCTTTGGCCTGAAATCTCGATTCCCCTCTGAAGAGGCAGAGGGGGTTTGATTGTGAAGGCAATGAGATACTTTTTGTTTTCTTCACCTCACCCAATTAAAGCATGCCCCTGTGTACTCTCGCTGTTAGATTAGGTCAGAAAGTCAAATGCTCATTCTTTGGGGTCATGTACCCATTTGTGCCTGCAAGTTCACAATATTACCTCTTCACCTCCTCACCTTTTTCTCTTTCTTTGTCAGTTTCTCTATGACTTTTTTTTTCTGCTTCTCAATCTCTTTCCTTCTGTCTTCAGGTTCAGTGAGTCCCATATTTGTGAGGTTACCATGCGGAGGCATAGGGGTAAGTCATCTCTCTGTCTGGGCATAAATTCTTGCTTTCATCATTTTGCGAATATGCACAGTCTAATTAAGTATTGAAATCTGTGTGCCTGATCTGATATTACAAGGGAATTACCAGTGTTAGTCATGCTGGTTTATTCAGTGGAAAATTGTTGTAATAGATTGCGTTGTGTTAATCTAATCAATACCCAACTGGCGCTGCTCCATCTGACTCCGTTGTGAAGCAAACAAGCCCAGTTTCAGCATCATCAAATAGTGGTATAATAACTCTGTTTCCTTCGCCCACTCTCTCTTTCTCTGTCCCCTGCGTAAATAATAGTCCCATTTGTTCCTGTTCCACCAAACAAACACGCACACACACGATCCTAACACACTTGCACGCACACTCAAACACCGCCCCTCAAGGACCAGAGGCAACAAAAGCTGTTGCTTGCCTTTCCGCCATGTTTGTAATTATAACCAGATGTTTTCAGCAGTGTGTGTGTAGTGTGTGTTTGTGTGTGTGTGTGTGTGGTGTCTGTGTGTTCGTGGGGTGGGTGGGGGTGGGGGGGGTATGTTTTTGTTTGTATGCATAGCAGTGTCTTTTGGAATCTTTGTGTGCTTAGGCAATGATTGAGATGGTTGCTCAGAGTAGGAAGTGCTGTCTTTTGAAACGGATATGTTAGAACAGTCGTACACCTGTATGTGTGTGCGTACATGCCCGTGTGTGTGTGTGTGTGTGTGTGTGTGTTGTCTTTTTCACAGTGTTGAGGATTTCCTAAGCCCGGTCCAGAACCCACTAACTTAGACCCATATATGCCTACACTGCCCTTTACTTGCTCTTTCTATAACTCTTTAATATGTCCTCCATACCTCTAGACTCTCTCTCTCTCTCTCTCTCTCTCTCTCTATCTGTCTCTCTCCCTCTCTCTCTCCCTCGGGGCTTACTGTTGCTGCTGTGGTGGGAACAAGAAGAGCCCGAGCTCTGCGTTGCTCTGTTCTGCTCTTTATAATGGCAAATGGGACTAAATTGTTGTCTTCCTGTCACACACACACACACACACAAACACACACACACACTCGCGCACACACACACACACACACACACACACACACACACACACACACACACATACAAGTCACACAAATGCACATACAGAGGAAGGGGGCTGAAATTAGGCTGTCAGCCTGTGGAGAACCATCATTCTGTCATACCAGCACGTTCCCGCTCTTTTCTACCTCTGACACACACACACACACACACACACACACACACACACACACACACTGCTTCCCTTTCACTTTTTCCTGAGTAGCCTGTGTCCCACTCCTGGCTTGAGGCAAAACTAACATCAACATGGGAAATAATAAACCACTCAGTCTCCACATGCTGCTTCAGTGCAGCATCTGTTTGTGCTCATTAACCTGACTTGTATATATGATTCAGTTTCCCATTCACTCACTCACTTGGCTCTTCGTTTGCTCACTCGCTCAATCACTGACACGGCTACTACATACTGTCTTCCACTTACGCCCCGTTTCTCTCTTCACATTCGGCTCCAACAGTCACTCATCAACAATGCTCTCTATACCTCCTCCCTCCCTCCCTCTTTAGTTTTAATCTATGGTAAATGCTCCACAGTTTCACTTCATGACAAAGTCTTTCTTGGCACTACTTAAAAAGAGCCTCTTTTTTTTTCTTCCCTGTGGATGTTATTATGGAGTCCTCCCCCAGCCTTGATCACTCCCGCCACTGGAGTCGAGAGGAAAGTGGGCCGGCTGGTTGAAAAGCTGAGTGGCGAGAGGTTAATCTACCACTTGGCCAGTTGACTGACTGAAAGGCAGCGAGTGTGGATGAAAACCTCTGCTGTCTGACAGAATGGGTGACTGGCAGGTTAAAGTTAACATATTCAAAGTAGAAGAGCCCCGGGTTTACATCAGAAAGCCCTCGCCAGAGCTCTGGCATCAGCCGCTCCGCACATGTGTGGACAGTTCAAACACATTGACACACAGAGTTTCCTTTTCCTCTTTTCCTCTGCCAGCTTCTTCTCTCTCTGTTTATCGTGCGCTCCATCTGCCTGCAGTATCTGCTATGCCTGATGGAGGGTGTGTATATTATCCTGAGCATAGCCCTGCGTACAATCAGTCACATAGAATATTGTGGTCCATTTGGCTTGTGTGTGTGTGTGTGTGTGTGTGTGTGTGTGTGTGTGTGTGTGTGTGTGTGTGTGTGTGTGTATGTGTGTGTGTGTATGTGTGTGTGTGTGTGTGTGTGTGCGCTGTTGTGATTGGGGCTGAGGGCCGTCCGTGCCTCGGCATTAATCAGGCTTGACCACTGAATGGTTGCCCTGTGTCTGAACACACGCAAACACACGCACACACATACATACAATCAATCCTGAAATCTTACTTTCACTCAGTAAATACATGAATAAATGCAGCACGGCCGAACTTCTCTCAAAGTTCGCTCCACTTCACTTCATTAAAATCTTTGAACTGAGAAGAGTCTTACTTTTACCTTGACTTTGTTTCCTATATTTCCAGACTTCTATGTCCTATGAGATCTTTAGGTAAATTAGAAATCAGTAGTAAGCTGACAACAGTGAATATTTCAGTCCAACTTTAATGTCCATCAAATTTTATTGATGAACAGCTTCAAACACAGATTTCCAGTATCCAGTTGGTCCCTCTGAGCTTAGATAAATCTTCAGAAAGTCTGATCTAGTACATACAGATCTGACTATTTGCCCGCATGATTAAACTTCTAAGTATGTCTATGCCTCGTAGATTCTCTCTCTGTTGTTTTACAAGCTAAATGATTTCAAATGTGCTCACTGCTTTACAGTTGCTGTCACACTGAAGCACTGTAAACCACACTATCAAATATCCCTTACCTCCCAAATAAATGGAAAACAGCACAAAGTTGCATATTTTTTTGTTGTGTGATATAAATAACACATGACTGTGTGTGTGTGTGTGTGTGTGTGTGTGTGTGTGTGTGTGTGTGTGTGTGTGTGTGTGTGTGTTGGCAGGTGGACAGCGACACCATTTGGAATGAGGTCCATTCGTCCAGTGCGGCTCGTCTGGCTGTTGGCTCAGTGGTGGAGCTGGTCTTCAAAGTGGCATCAGGGGAACTGAAGGTTAGTTTGGAGTCAAATGAGAGTCATGGCTGTTGTTTAAGCGATTGGAATGACTAAAGGAAATTTTGTGTTTGTCGTGTCTGTGTGCCCTTTTATGTGAATAATTCTCTGCTCGTGTTTAATAACCTTTGAGATGGAGCCAAAAGGTTTTTGTTTCAGTCTGCTTCTCATGATTGCCTTCTCCATTTTCTGGCAGAGTTACATTTCAGACACCCAAACGCCTTTAGAGAGAGAAGCTCTTTGCATCGTTATGAGTGATTATATAAATGTTTATTTGAAAGTATTGCTAATTGAGTAATCAAACCTTGTTACACCCAACACGTACTATTCATCCTCCAAACACCTCAAGAAAATAAGAAACCTCCTTCCAGAACCATCCATCCCAAAGTCTCGTTAGCACCTCCCAGACAGACGTCCCCACCCCCGTCATGCCTTGCCCACCAGCCAGCCTTCCTGTGTCTGTGGCAATGGCTGCTTGCTGTTTGAACCCAGCAGGGAGGCCCGGCGCACGGGCACTGCAAACGCTAACAGCCCCCACTAACAGGCCTGCTTTATTAGTATTACACCACAGCCACCTGCAGAGCAGTCTTCACACTGAGCGTTAGCTTAGCACCAACATACCACAGACTAATGACGTTCTTTGGAGAGACAGTAGCACGCCAAACCTTACCCACATGGTTTTTGGCTGGCGATCAGTACCTCTGCTACATGTGGGCATAATTACTATGAAAAAATAGTGGTCTGGTCTTTCTATACAGCACATTGTTTGATTGGTAGTATCACGGTTTGAAAGAAAAATCAAACGTATTGCGCACCCCGGGAGGAAAAACTCTGCTTTAACATGAATGATATGGACTCGCTCCAACTAGGGTTAAAGGTCACAGGTATTGACTTGCCCTCAGCTTAACCTGATCTTAACACATGTGCACATGTGTACATATGATCATGCACGCACACATATTCACTCACATATGCCTACACACATACAGATGGTCCTCTGAGGATCCTCCGCAGCCAAATTACCAAATTCCACCTGCACCAACAATTCTCTGAACTTCACAGAATGCCATAAATCTACTCAGGGTGCGCACACACACACACACACACACACACACACACACACACACACACACACACACACACAGACACACAGACACAGTCACACATTTCTGTCTCCCCATCTGCTGTTGCTATTTCTCTCCACGTGTTTATTTTAATCCATTGATATTTTTTCCTCTGCACAGACAAACAATGTACCTACCGCCATCTCTCATTCACCTTTGCACATGCCGTATTATGGAACCTGCTGTAACCGGGTGTCCACAAACCAACTAAGGCAGTTGTCTTTACAATAATCTCCCGGCTGGCTGCTAATCCACAGCAGCTGACTCAACATCATTAGTCCAGTTTGCCTCGCTCTACATCAGCCCAAACATCTATCTAATGTCCCCACATAGCAGTGGGAGCCCCAAAAACAGTTGCTGGGAGTCCCACTGGTCCCTGCCTTAACAAAGCTCCCCTTAACTGACCTGATGTAAGCATCTGTTTCTGTGTGTGTGTGTGTGTGTGTGTGTGTGTGTGTGTATGTGCACACTTTTTAATCTCTCTGCCTGTGAAAAACATTTCTAAATTTTGAACTAAGGCATAGTGACACTTTTGGAAAATAATTGTTGAGTATTATGATTGGTATTGACTGAAACACATTGTAGAGGGGATTACTGTATGTATTTGTGTTATTCTTTGTTTTTATCATGTTTTTTGTTTTTTTTGTCCCAATGATGATTAGAAATAAGATACTAAGAAAATGTGCTTCTTTTCATGTGTGTATTTCTGTGCATGGGGAGTCGATATGTGACAGCAAGGAAGATTTCTCGACCTCGTCTGACCCTGTAGCCTGTCAAAGAGACAGAAAACATATCATTAGATTAAAGCGAGCAGGTGTAAGGTCAGACACAACCGACTTCAGTGGACCATGATGGTTTATGTAACTGTGTGTATGTGCTCTGTGTGAGTGATTTTTGTTTTCCCTGACAGAACGGCTTTGCTGTGGTTCGACCACCTGGACACCATGCGGAGGAGAGCACGCCTATGTAAGTAAATACGAAATATGACCAAGGAAAAAAGATCAGATCTTTCCTGTATCATAGCAACAGAAACTCCTAGTTACATTCCCTCTACGCTCATGTCTCGTAAAAAACAGACATAAATGTGTTGTTCTCAGTGTAAGATATACTTAAATGCCATACTGGTGTTTCATTCAGTATCTGAAGAAGTATTTAGATCCTTTGCTTAAGTCTAAGTACTAACACCACTGTGATATTCCACTACAAGTAAAAGTCATTCACAACTTTACTTCAGTACTTCGGTACGTCATATGATGACATCATAATCAATATTACTGCTGCATTAATGTGTATGTAATTTGAACTACTTATACGCTGTTGGGTAGTTTAATCTTCGACAATGCATCGTATTCTATAAGGTCATCATATGTTTGTCCTGTGAGAACCATCTTTTCAGCAAAAAACAGCCTGTTTTCAGCTTTGTGATGATGCCTTTTCCAGCTAATCCAAGATGTTTTTCAGTAGTTTATTTTTCTTAAGTGAGTAAATGTACACTGCTACATTCTCTCACAGTTTTTTGGACATCGCTTATCAAGCTTGTAAATATATCATCATTCGTTAATATCCTCTCTCTCACTGTCCATTCTCAGGGGCTTCTGTTACTTCAACTCAGTTGCCATTGCAGCCAAGCTCTTGCAGCAGAGGCTCAATGTCAGTAAAATCCTCATTGTGGACTGGGTGAGTTCTACAGGCAACACAATGTGTTGTTTGCATTCTCTTGCAACCACGTCTTCCTCTGAGCTCATAGAGTATTCCCAGTGGTTTGATTTACTGTAGGTCGTCTGCCCCACCATCAAACTAGTATAATTGCCATTGAAACATATGTGTATATCAGTTTGAGGTATAGTTGCATAATAACAGAGGAATCACTTCTGCATAGGTGTTGTTTCAGTACTATTCACTGTGTAACTGCAAGTCTCAAAGAGTGTATTTGACCCTTCAAAGATCACAATCAACATTTTCTCTAGTACCTGTCAGGCCACTTTATGAGCTGTCCTGTTATCTCACTCTAAAAGTGAGATAACACTTTACACAAAGCTAGTAGGAAGATTCCCATAAAATCTGCTGAGATAAAGCATTTGGATTTGAACAACCTGTACGGCTTTTGCTTTAGGACCCTGCACAGGAAAGAGATCTTCCACTGATAATGCTTTATCAATTTGTTATCTTGCCTGTTCAGCGTTTTTGCAACGTTAAGGTTACTGAATATTTCAGGCACTGAAGGACCTTTTGGCATGGTCTTGTTACTGTTATTACTTGACCTGGGGGGGGGGACTGGATCCACAACAGTTCAAAACGTCACACCATCCACAGCCCCATACGCTGTGTGAGAGAGAAAGGGCTTGAAAGATCCGCTATTTAGGTCAGACACTGTCCCCTTTTTCAAAAAGAGAGACAAATTTGTTAATAAGAAGGTATGACAAAAGCCTTGGTCGTGTAGGAGCACTGCTCTTCAATGGCGTCCCTGCTTGGTCATGGCCATTCCCAAAAGCCTTTGAAGGGCCTTTTCATTTCCTGTCTTGTCTGTCACAGGGAGACTTTAAGTGCAGCTAGCAAACTCATTGTCATGCCCACTCTGCCTCCAGCCAACAGGGACATTTTTAGGTTCGGTGTATTAAAGCATTCTTGGGACGTAGACAATGAGGTCATTTAATTGATGTCATGTTGTTGGCAAAAGTGAATAACTATTGAAGTTGAGTGTTTTATTGAATCCTGCTGACCATCCCTTTTTGACATCACTACAGGCTGCAGCTGAGATGCAGACTTGACTGTCATGTATTATTACAGTCTCAGTGTCATGTCCTTGATTTCAGTGCAGGTGTAGGGGTTGATGACCCTGTCTCTGTGAAACTCATTCATTTTCCAAGTCATTTGATGTCCCTTTTGCTGCAAGGCAACTTCTTTAATACATTTTGAGTCGAGTGTTTCAGCAATAACAGTGAATGCCAAGACTAATGGAGCTGACAAAATTCCTATTTCCATTTGTTTTCCCTAATTTTGCAATAACCTGTGGCTTTTTTATGTTTCCAGGATGTTCATCATGGAAATGGCACCCAGCAGGCTTTCTACTCCGATCCCAGTGTTCTTTATCTGTCGCTGCATCGCTACGATGATGGAAACTTCTTCCCAGGCAGCGGAGCACCTGACGAGGTGGGAAGGACCACTTGTCTGTCTTTCTGTCTGCTCACCCTTCAGTCTCAATTTATGCTTTACAAACCCAGCTGTGTGTGTGTGTGTGTGTGTGTGTGTGTGTGTGTGTGTGTGTGTGTGTGTGTGTGTGTGTTTGTGTGTGTGTTAATGCGTTAATGCATTGTAGGTGGGCAGTGGAGCAGGTGTCGGCTTCAATGTGAACATGGCCTTTACCGGAGGACTGGAACCTCCCATGGGGGATGCAGAGTATCTTGCTGCATTCAGGTAAGACTATAATACCACCTGCTGCTTTATAGAGTTTGACACTGGATGGTCATACTGTTGATATTGGTCTTTATTGCTAAACTGACTCTATATATGTGCCTGCCTGTATGAGTGTCTTGAAGGAAAAAATTAGCCGTACTCTAATTCTAGTCATACTCCAGCCTTTGACTCTGCAGTGCATGATTTGTCAAATGGTCTATCAGGAGCTGTTGAGTAGGTAGGGAGTTCCTCCTCATGCCACACCTGATTTCCATTAGCTCCACTGTCTGGGGATATTTATAACTTCCCACACACACACACACACACACACACCCTCATACATGCACACACTAAGCTTGAAAGGCCGACAAGCATACAGGCATGGACTCACCACAGACATGTACACATCTCTTACACATCACTGGTTCATACAGCTGGCAAGGAGCAGGTCTGGATTGGTTCCAGCACTCTTTGAAGATGAACTCATTTTTGTGACTGTGTGTCCATCTGGCCTGAGCCAAAAACTGGCCAACAGGCCGTTGTCTCCTCACAACTTTTGGCACGCAATACCCCCGGAAACACACCTTAGCCCGTTAATGCGTCCCAGAGCCTTGTGTGCTCTCATTCTCCCTCTCCTCACTTTATATCCTTTTATCCCCTCTTCATCCTCCTCTTTTTACCCTTCTGTCTGCATGTGCACTGATGACAACCAACTAATATATATCCCGCTATAATATATCATACTATAGCCATCATTTATAATCCGTCACTGAAGCCAAAAGCCAGTGCAGTATGCCTCATAATATAGTATTTTATAGTATAGTATAGTAGGTATAGTATTTTTTAACATCTACATTGATACATTGAGTTTTAACATCTACATTAATACACAGAAAAGACTATTATTCACATGAATTAAATATCACTGATGAGTAACACCTCCTGTATGTAAAAGCTAGTAACTTAGTACAGAATGGAAACACCTCTAGCAAATACAATTGTGTAAAACTAGTTGAGTATCCACTAAACTCTTGCTAAGGGAATTATTGGAGATGGTCCATCTGCATTTGAGTCAATCAGGGAATATTTATCTTCATTCAGTTAAACCAGCTCACTCTGTTAACATTAAAAAAATCTGGAGCCACCTTTCTTTACACAGTTTTGGTTTGTGTATGTTTGTTCAGGAGTGCATGCATGGATCTGAGTCAACATGCATGTGAAGAGGCTTGCACTGTGCCTTTGTTTTCATGTAATTGAAGGTTATTAAATCAGCATTCTTTGCATTAACGGATGAGGTCCAAAGATATAAAATGAAGGAGAGTGTGGGTGTGTTTCACCTCAGACCCCGAGGCTGTCGCAGTAGTGGACAATTTATAGGCCCCATAGGACAGTAACAAACCTGTCTTGCAGTTCATAGATCTGCCGCATGCACACGCATAAACCATGCTTGTTTGCATGTGCACACAAAGTAACAACAGATACAGAGACTGGACTGCCATGTATATATACAAATGCACACGCTAAATACAGCTTTATAGAAATGCAGAAGGGCCTGGCTCAAGTATATACGAGAGTCCATGATTATGCACAAAACGCACAGTTAAACAGCTGCACAAATGCTCACAGATGCAGCTTTTACATCAGTGTGTTTACACATGTAGAACCACATGCAGATAGACACATGTGGATGGACACCTGATACACACAGCCCCTCTCTCTCCCTCTCTCTCTCTCTCTCTCTCTCTCTCTCTCTCTCTCTCTCCCCCTCTCTCTTTCAATCTCAGTGTTTATCTGTGTATTGTGGTCCTCTCCTTCCTCCCTCTCTGTCTCTGGGAGGGGATGCGTGCCTTGCATCCAGCACCTTACCATTCCTCCGCTGGCCTGTGCCACGTTGCATTTGCAGGGGATCAAGTTTGAGCCTCCAGAAAGCACAGAGAAAAAAGATAAGAAAATTGGCCCTAATGAAAACCAGAAGCACCGTCTCTCCCTCCCTCTCTCTCTCTCTCTCCCACTCCCTCTCTCTCTCTCTCACCTCCTCTTTTCACTCCGTCTTTTGCCATGAACTTGGAAAGACGAGAGAGGAGGAGAATTAAACTTAATTCAAACCAGCTCTCCACAGCGCCAGATGACAGGGCTTTGAAGTGTAAGTGTGCGTGTGTGAGTTTTTCGCTCTCTTATTCTCTCTCCCTCTCCTCCCGCTCTCCTCTACTTTTTTATGAACGGAGGGGGAAAGCCTTGAAGCTCTGCAGTTTAACCTTTTGTTGACTGGTTTGATGAGCACTGCTCCCTCTAAAGGACAGCATCTGTATTTTCTTCTAAAATGGGCCTCACCCAGCACTTTATTGAATGGGTGAGGCTGAATCTCTCCAGTGGTAATGGCTCTTGGGTTGGCCAATTAATACCTTTAGAAACACTGGCAGATTATATCTAGTCACAAAGGCCTGTTCTTGTCTATTTTATAGCCAGTGGTTTACCACCAACGCCATGTTGAAAACTTAGAGTGCATTGGATCAGAATACATAATCAGGATGTGGAAATGGATAAATTAAGGACTACAGTAATTACACAAAGATGAGTTGTCCCTAGAGAAGTTGTTTTCCTTGGCTCAAATTAAAATTAACAGTATGCCAAAACCTACTACCGTATTAACTTGTGTGAACACATTCCTAATGCACTTGTTGAATGAAAAACTGAACACGATCATCAGGATCAGAGGAGGATTAATTAGTCGGAGCAGAGAAGAGGAAGAAAAGTCTTTCTGGAAGTTGAGTCTCATGAAGTTAGACGTCTACAGAAAGATGTTAACGAGGGTTTGATGGGCAAAGGGAGATGTGTTTTGTGTGTGTGTTGGTTGTTATCTGTTGTGTAAGAATAGTGTTCTTATTCAGTTAGGCTAAAGCAGTATCTCCTCCAACTGTACTATTGAATTCCAGTATAAAATGCATTGACGCACAATTTCCCCACATACAAATGACTTGTTTTAACTAAGCAACAGCAATCATTCCAGTAAACGAGTCTCATTTTAATTATTGTCTGTCGTCACGCTCAATTTATAATTTGGAAAAAAAACACATGTAATTTATTACACAGACCTGATAAGATAAAACTTGAAGAGAACTCCACTTGTACACGTCAAAATCAGTTCACTCATCATTAGGAATACAACTGAGTCTGTGTAAAGGGTTAAGTTAGGTCCTGTGGAGGAGCTTTTTTAAGTATGAGAAAATAACCCAGATGATGTCATCAGGGTTATTTTGGCTCAGGTAGATAGGAAGCGTAGGATCTAATGTTTGTGGAGCTCTGACCCCTGCTGCGTTGAATTTGACCAGGCTTCTTTTTAAATGTCTCTCATAAGTCCTCCAGCTTAATGAACGGCAATACCAAAGTGCTAAAGTTTAATAACCACACAACATTTTCACATACTCTCTCATGCACATAAACACAGACCCACCATTGCTCGGCTGACACATGCACACCTGTTGCTAGGTAAACCAAATAAAAACAAACAAAAGTTTACACTACATGCTCATCCAAGTAATTCCTCTCACAGTAAGATCTCCCTATGAGAGAACCAGCAGCGGTTTAGATCACAACCTCTTCGCTCAGGATGTCCCATAGCTTATGGCTCAGTCGTAAACTCTCCCCTCCCTTAATTAACAAAAAGGCCTTTTCATCTCCACATACATAGCCTCTGATTCACACACAATTAGTCTTCCTCAAAAACCACTAGCTTCCCTTTATACCAGTTTGCTAATTGATTGCTGTGGCTTTTTTATTTCTTTAAATGTCAGGATATTATTCCAGGGGGTGAGGGCTGGAACTGATGACACCAGCAGTTTTCATCTTCGTGACCAGAACTGTCTCTGTTTATGTTCAAGGTTGGAGGAGGGGTACGGGGCGGGGGAGCCTTTAGTGGTTAAAGTATCCTTGGCGGTCAAGGTTTCCCTCTTGCGTCGTGTGTCAGCCCACATGAGTGCCTGTGGCCAACTCCCTTTACTGTGGGGTCTTTTATGGCCCAAATGTTAATGAGCCAAGGCTCTGTGTGTATGTAACTTTGTGAGTAGGTGGAGACAGAGGGAGAAAAATGTGTAACAAATGCGATAAATCTGAAAAATATAATAATACCGTCCCTAAACAGAGTGGTTGTAAATTTAATCTAATAGTTTAGTTATCTGTGACGTCTTCACATGAATGGATTTGTGTTGTTGACTGCCGTCTGCCTTAAAGCCCATGAAATGGTGGAACAATGACTCATTTACACTAGCTGTAACTCTGACTCTTTCATCCACTGTACTTCATGACTGTACTCACTCAGTTTTAGTCCATGTTCTCTTTCCAGACCCTTTCGTCCCTGCCCTCTTTCATCTTCTTTCTCTCTGTATCTCTATCTTCCTTGCTCAAACTCCTTCATCTTCTTTGCATGACGTTTTCTTCTGAAATGTTGCCAGATGCACGCTAACACACAGTGACGCACGCACTCCCCGTATCCTTGCTGTCTGGGACTACCAGAAAGCTCCTAATACTACCTCCCGCCTCTCCCTCAGACAGCTGTGTGTACGTATGAGTGTTGTGTTGTGGTGGGGGGTGTGGTGTGCACAGTTGAGGGTTATAATTTGGTGGTGAACAAGAGATGGAAAAACCGGTGGCCTCAGAGTTCAGGGCACGCTGCTCACCCACAGCCGGCAAACCAACACCGTGTTCCTGAGGTCTGCAAAGTAGAGGGGACCTACGACGGAACCCTGTGGTACTCTGTCGCTCACAGACCTCACCAAAACACAGCTTGCCCGAATATCCCAGACCCCAAAAAAAATCCTATGTTGAACCTGAGGTCCCACAGTGAAATCAGAGAGAGCCACTTGTTTTGCCATCTGGGAAGTCTGACTATTTATGAACTAAGTGAGAGATCCTAAATCATGCTAAACCAAAATGCTACTTTTACACAAAGTCGACTAAGCTTGCAGAATGCCAACTCTTGTCCTGTAGAGAAGGTCAGCGGTTCTTTAATGCTGATTGCTAATTTATTGATATCTTTACATAAAGCCAAATTTAGAGTTATGTAATAGTTTAATTATCTTTTTCTTTAAGCAGTGTACAAGTAATCTGATTTAATTTCATTAATTTCTTTATTTAAAAAAGTTTTTGTGCATCTCCTTTAAAAATAAAATGAACCTGATAAATTCAAACATCTAGTTTTATGTGATCTAATTTAACTTTTCTGTGCAAAACTGGCTCAGCATTAAACATGCATACTGTACAGTGTTTTGTTTTTTTCAAACAGGGTCACCATATAAACCAGACTGGATTTTCCAGCCACAACTTGCAGTGAATCATTACACAGTATCCCACTGTTGATTTGATTTCTGTGTATGACACATTGCACACGAGCACTCCCTCCCTACCAGCTGTGTGTTGGATGGAGGTTGTGCACAAACATCCTTCATTCACCACACCCATCATCATCCAGTGTTAGAATTATCCTGCATACACACATGCAATTTTATTTGTCCTTCCGTTTCTCCTTTCTACTTAAGGATCTTTTAGTTTATTACTGCCTCCAAATTTCCAAACTTTCCACTTCAAAAAAAGTGCACATGGTAATTTTCTCTCACACACACATACTGAACATGCAAACTCATTAGGTGGATGTTTGCTTAGAAAACCATGAAAGGGAGAGAACAGCCATAAAATGACACGTAGCATCTCCAGCCGGGTACCGCATATCCTACAGTCATCAGAGGGACAGTGAGCACACTGAAGGCATATATACCTATTTTTACAGTTGTCCTCTTAAACTCCACTTGTCCTCTTTTAGACATCAGAGGCTACAGAGTTCACTATACTTTTAGCAAGTTGATCTTTCTTCTCAGTTAATACATCTCCCGCCTTTAGGGTAAAGGTGTTATTATACTATTTAGCACAAAAGAAAAATGGTGTAAAATCATTTTTAAGGCAAGTGTAGCTTTATCAGAAGCCCGTCAGCAGCAGTTTCACATCAGCTGTTACCCATAGCGCTCTCAGTGCTTCAGTTCTGGTAGCTCTTTATCACCCTGTATGCCCAGCTGTGAGCTCCACATGCTTTGATATAATTACATCTATTGGAAATGTGGTAGTAGGAAAAAACAGTTTATACACACAGATCAGAGAGTCTCCAAAACTGATATGAAATCTTGAAAACTTGTTTCATCAAGCTTAGTGGTTTTGATTGTACTTTTGAGAGGTCTGAGCAGCAGTTTCTTATCTTAGGAATATATATTTGATGTATTTTGGAGTAATTCATGTCTCACTGTAGCTGGGTAATCCTGTCATTCAGCCTGCATATTAAATGGATGTGGCGGTTGTTATTGCAAGGATATCTGTTTATGAAATGTAGCGTGACCATTCAATGGGCTTGCCTGAGAAAGATGTGATTCAACGGGGAAGCAAAGCTAGAAGTGTACGCTGCCCACCAGCCGGTGTGACAGCATTTAACCTCACTCATAACCAAGCTTTCCATTGAATCTTAAAACTACCTCTGCTTTCTGGCCTTCATGTGGAAGGCAGCAAGCCGAAAACCAAATGTATCAAACTAAGGGACTATATGAAAATTTTCCCGCCTCTCTTATACAGCCTCCATCATAAATACACTATTTTGTTGACATTTTTTTCCTGTTGGTTACTCTAGGACGGTGGTTATGCCTATTGCCAACGAGTTTGCCCCAGACGTGGTTCTGGTGTCTTCAGGCTTTGACGCGGTAGATGGACATGCTCCACCCCTGGGAGGATACAAACTGACAGCCAAATGTAAGTGCTGACGACAGCTGTCCTGTTTTTTTTTTTTAAACCATACAATGTCATGTAGAAGTTCTTACATCAGTTTCATGCCAGAAAACTTGCTCATGCGTGCACATTTTAATACATACCCCCTACATCTCACACATGCTGCATATTCCATTCTTTCTATTTCTGATGGTAGAAAGGACTGGCTGACTGGCACAGACAGACGCACACACATCTTGCGTTTATTTTGTGCATCTGACTTGTGTATTCAGTTCGAGACCTTGGCGTGCCAGCAAAGAGCTTTTCTCAAACCATCCTGCGGATCTCAAATAAGAGCAGGAGTCTTGGTTGTGAAGGGGGTGATAAAGGTGGTTTAGAGAGGATTGCAGGAAGCGGGGATATGGAGAGAATTCAGTGGAGAAGAAAGTATGGCTGAATGCATATATTCAAACTCCCCCCTCCTCCTGAAAAACAAAGATCAAAGGCTGCGACCAAGTCTAAACTCAAAGCCGTATTTATTAAAATTAAACCTGGCTCATATTATGGCTTGTTTTCTGGCCCCCAGTAAATCCACAGTGCACTCTCTCTCCCTCTCTCTCTCTCTCTCTCTCTCTCTCTCTCTCTCTCTCTCTCTCTTCCTATCTCTGATGCAGTCACCCCCTCCTTCATTCATGCTCAAACTCTCTTTTTTCTTTGATCAATATCCAAAAAGGAAGTCAGAGCTTGAAGAGCAGTGCTCCCTGTCTCATTCTTTTTCTCTTGCCTTGTCTCCCTCCCTCCTTCTCTCTATCTCTACCTTTTCTTTTCTGCCATTTCCTGTGTGTACAGGCTTCGGCTACCTGACCAGGCAGCTGATGGGTCTGGCAGGCGGTCGGTTGGTGCTTGCCCTGGAGGGGGGTCATGACCTCACAGCCATATGCGATGCCTCCGAAGCCTGCGTCTCTGCTCTGCTTGGCAATGAGGTAAGATGAGAGCCAAGAGGAGAGGGGATAAATTACTGTCAAAATATCCTTGAGCAAGGCAACAGGGTTCAACGGTTATATTGGGAGTTGTAGACTAAATCTATGGTTGGTCTGAGGTTCATGATGGGAGCTGTGTTGCCTACAGCAGCTCATACAGAAAGAATAATCTGGTTGGATCCAAGTGTATAAATTCACAACTAGAAAATCCTGAGAGTTCATATTGATTCCAGCCTGTTCTAATTAATCCATAATGATGAGCTTTATTTATGGCCACATTAGCATAGTTTTAAAGTTTAATTGCATTAAAGTATTGCACAGGCAGGACCTCGGGCAGCTGAAGAGCATCTTGTTTATTTGTGTTGTCAACATCAAAGTTGCAGAATGCAGTTGCACACATTTATTCTTGGGTGGATTTCCAGATGCGAGTAATTTCGCATGACTTCATTCATCAACATACTGCAAAAAAGTGAACACAAAATTTGAATGATAGATTTTTCTGATTTCCTATTCTTCTGAAGCCAGAAAACTCCCCAACCCTTTCCTTAAATATTTTACGTCTCAGGCAACTTTGATGTTTGTGTCCCCTGATTGGGTGACTTGCATGAAAGCTGCTGAAACATATTTTGTCCTGAATGAAAACATGGCTGATGACGGTAACGGGAAGTAATTTAATCACCCAAAAACGGTAGAGGCTAATGCTGTGGGCTGTTACATTGATCTTTACAAAACATGTTTGTGAATTCCTAAAACAATAAGCTTTTATTTAAGTCAAAACCATCTTGTCGTCATGTTCTCTTACACTGCCTCTGTCTGGGAAGTCAACACCACGCACACACACACTCAAGCACGTCAGAGGGAGGACTTCCAGGCAGAAGGTTAATTGTGGGAGTGTGTAGGTTGGGCTGAGGAGCTGAGCAAACATTGGCTCTCTGTGATTCATGGCGCACAACAGAATAGCAGCTCGACACAGCCTCCCACTCTTTTCTTCCAGCTAATGGAGAGGCTGGAGTGCTTTTTTGGATGGACTGCTCAGTCTCATTTTCTCCCTGCACATTATGCATCCAAGATATATCAGGGCTTTACTGTCAAAGGACTACTGAACTGGGGCACAGAGTGGAGATTATAGAGCTTTAGGGGAAGAGAAGAGGGTGTGACTGTTTGTTTGTGTAGGAGAACTTGTACAGTTCAGGTACACCTGTGTCTCCCCGGCTCTATTCAGAACTAGTGTCTTACGTCAAAATGATGTATGTCCGGGCTGCATCTCGAGCCAGCTTTGTAGTCCATGTACAGTATTGGAGTGTGTCTTTTAGTAATGTGATTTAGCCTTTTGTTCTGACCACCGATGAACAGGATAAAAATACATATTTGCTTTTAGGCACACCGTCAGAGAGGAGTGAGATGTCTGTTTGGGGCCTGGCTTCGGACACTTTGTTGAGTTATTTTTCTTCAGTGTAACTATTGTGTGAAACTGTTTGGGAGATGTGTTCTGCTGCGGTGTGTGAGTGACTGGATCTCGCTTTCACAACTGTATTTAGAGCTGTCTACTTGTGATCACACACGATGCATTTTGGTCTTTCAGAAAAAAGTGTTTACAAAGTCTTCACGTGTCAGTGAGGTGCTTCAATCCATCTCTGTTCAATTCAATTCAATGCAAACGGTGGAGGCAAACTTCAAGGACACGTTTGAGCAGTGCAGACTTTTTGAAGCCGATTTTCAAACTCGCTTTTTAGAGAAATAACTGTCATGTAAAGATCAGCCATACAAACTAAAAGTAAAGTGCAACAACACCAAGAGTGTCAAGTAAGGAAGTAAGTGCAACACATCATCAGAGTGAATATTCAGACTGCTACTTTTGTATTAAGTTCATTTATTTTGAGAAAGTGACCACTCTCAAGTGTTGCTGCAGGCCTAGCCACAAGCACACCCTCAGAGTGTTGGTTGTCATTGGAATGGCTACTGTACCTGCTAAAGCCATTATCTTCTGCCCACTGAGACAGTCTGAACAGTTTTACTAATGCATATGGTTCTGCAGTTCAGATTTGGTACATACAGAACCTTAGAGTGCATACTATAGTGAGAGTAGTTGTTTGACTGCATGTAGTTATAAACTGGTGTAACAATGTACCGACGTAGTGAAAAACATAACATGCAGTCAGTGGCAGAAGTTTTAATATGGCCAAACATCAGTGCTCATAAATATGTTACTTGAACACAAAAGGAATCAGTCACACTCCAGATAAAATAAAATAATTGTTGTGTTCAGTCACATTTATCCAGTGGACAAAAATAATTATGTTTCAGTTGTGACTTATGAATGATAGTCATTGATTAGTTAAATGCTTAAATGTTGAGCTCTGAATCTGTGTGTGCCACATTGAAGTTTGTATCTGTGCATCCCGAGGCCTCGTGCTCCAGCCCTTCAGACAGCTTGAGCTATAAATGGGTTCTTGGAATCGTAAAAAACCCGCGTGGCCTCATTCCATGTGGATCTTGGAGCCAGAGCAAAACAAACAGAACAATAACATAGGATCACATTAATAAAACTCACTGTAACCATCCAGCCTGCTGTTTTGTGGTGTCACGAAGACACTGACCATCGCAGACAGATGACCCGCTTTGAAGTGACACGTGGGCAAAGTTATTAACCCTTGAATGTTTGTTCTTAAGAGGAAAACATTGGTTTGTGACAAACCAACAGCTCTGCTCGATCATGGTTTGCATGAGAGGGGAAATGCACCAATAAGAGGCTTAATCTAATAACTTAACTCTGTTTACCTGGACTGTGCCCACCAATGACTCAAAGCTACATAAAACTGCCATTACCGTCGGTAAGGTTTCATGAATTCAAGGACATCTCAGCAGGGCGAGTGCTTTTTGCTGTCACAGAGGTTTGTATTCAGGAATTGCAGTTTGAAGGACGCTCTCCTTGCTCACAACTCCGCCCTGCTGCAAAAATAATGAACCGGATCAGGGGCTTTGCTTCTTAGGTTTCAGCAGCCTGCGGAGCACCGGCCTCAGCGGGGAGTTTGGAGGAGGTCACTGGATGGGTGCCACAGGGAGCTGAAAATTCGAAAATCGGCAGGAGGCAGGGAGCGTCAATTGCCTCAGCCCTGCAGGACACCCCTCTCACCCTCTCAACCGTGGCCCCGTCACTGGTACACATCTGAAAATGGTTACCCTCACACCTCTCCCAGCAATGTCAGCCCGGGTCTAGGGTTCAGATAATAAAAGGAAACGGAGCAATCATTTGAAGTTGAGAGGGAGGAAACGATTGTTAGAAAGCAGCTGCACCATGTAGGTCTTCAAAGTCTGAGAAAAAGTGATCATATTTTCCTGATATGCATAGTTTAATATTTTATGTTGGTTAGAATTACAGTTTCTAGAATGCATGATGCCTTATACTGAATATTAAGCATACTTAATATAAAATAAGTAAATAAATAAAGCTATGCAACTTTTACATTGAAACTTACCCAGTACACAAATCGCAACTACAAAGTTTTAGCTTTTAGTTTTTGGGGAACCTTGAAAAAAAATTTCAAAGTATCATGACAGCAGCCTGATAGAAAGACTTGTACAGGATACCTCATTAGGCAGAAGATGGCTTTGATAAAGTGATGAACAACACAGATGTAGATGTTGTTGAGTTAAGTATAGCCCTGGAGTTCTCATGACGTGCACCGGTTGGCTCTTTGGCAGCAAGTGATGTCAGCTGTTTGAACAAAGGCAAATCATTCAGTTGTGTGCAGCTTTGATAACTGATAGGAAAGGAGAAAAAAAGAGGCTAAAATGTCCCTGATCAGATCAAAATGGCAGGAAGCAAGTGTTTTTATCATAATCCCAGCGAAGGTCTCAGTAATGGACGTGGAATTTAGCTGAAAAACGTCAGTGGGGGATTGAGCAAGAGGGAGAGAAAAAAGGCCTTGGGTTTTTTTTTTTCTTTTTTTTTTTCTTTCATTTACTGACAGAGTCTGGTAATAGCCTCAGATGGTAAATATGAAGATATAAGGCAAGACCTAATTTAATTTCAGGCCTAAACAGGCATTGTAGCTTCACCAACCAGGTTGAATAACAAAGCAGACCTGGGCAACAAGTGGCCAACAGTCAGATAAATTTTGGACTTGTCTGAATTTGTCCACTGAGTGGCTGCTTTTTAATGGAGGATATATTTTAGTTTCGGCATATGTGTCTGTGTGTGTGTGTGTGTGTGTGTGTTGGCTGGAGTGTAAATGGAGCGAATGAGTAGGTTCAGACATGGGACCACAGCTGGGTTAGCCGGTCAGCTGTGTTTTTGTTTATGAACCTTCAAACTGCCTGAGAGTTTGTATTGTCTGGATGTGTCCAGAACACAAGACGTCATCATAATATAAATCCCTGATCTAACTATAGCATATAACCATAAAAGATGAGTTGAATGGTACCGTATATACCAGTGAGTTAGACTGACAGATAAGCTGCTATATTATGCCACGTGCACAAGTACAGAGGAGTTAAGAAGAGCAAAATAAATGGTTAAGAAATCACAAATAATTGACTTTGTTTATTATGTGAGCAGTGCTTTTATTATGTGGCAGTCTTAAAAGGCAGATTTTGGCAGCCTCCACATTGCAGCCAAAACATCCTAAAGGTGTTCCTTATATCCTCTTCACCTCCTGTGTAGCTTGTACTTCCAGCATTTTATTGCTTGCTAGTGTGAGAAATATATCTGTGCTTTTATTGGCAGGTTAAGACAAGCTTTGCCATAATGAGCATTAGGTTTCCTTTGAAAACAGCTCAGATTAGCTGGGAAAGAGAGGGATGAAAATTGTTGAATGGACTTTACAGGCTCTTATTCACCCCCACCACTGTAGTGCGTAATCGTGAAGTCTCCCTAGTTAAATAGCTCATGAATGATGCATTGGCGACTACACTAGTCAACTCTGAACCCGGGACTAATTGATGATTGCTCGCAAACAGATGTTGGCCCAGCTCGAACCATGGTTGTTAGCAATTATTTGATAAACAACAGGCTAATATGCTAATTGTTACCAGCTGTCAATGAGGTTATTCAGCATGTTTACACTCCAGTTACAGTAAGACGCTCGACTTCACCTGTCCCCCCCCGTGGGTCTGACTGTTCCCCACCATCCCCGACTACAAGGAAAACCTATACCCCTTTCCTGAAAAGGTCACCTGCTTTGCACAATACACGTCATTACCTTGTTCAGTTAGCATAACATAATCAACCGGTTTTAGGGACCGCCAACATATGCACATGAACACAACAGTAAACAATGGATGCCTTGTGCACTTTTCTTTTGCTGAACAAGTGGAATTCCTCCTCTTTCCACTGTTTTGGTTTCAGCCTCCCTCAGGAATGTTTTTACCGGGGCACATTCCTCATTCTCAGCTCATGGCTTTCCATGGTGTCTCCGCTTTGCTGGCCAGGACCTTGTGTGTTGGACGGCTGTGTCACACAGAGAAATAGACTTGCTCAGAAATCAGTCAACACAGTGACAGCAAACCGTCCTCAAAGGACGTCTCTCTCCCACTCTCTCAAAGCCGCAGCACATCTGATGGTATGAAGATGCAGAATCCCAGGCACAACCAGGACCGCAAACTCAATAAACAGAAAATACTGCTGGATGATGTAGCAGACAAATGTGCGCTTGTATGTAGTGCACATGCACGTCTGTGTGTGTGTGCGCGTGCATATGTGTGTTTGCCATACCTGTCAGGTGGGGGCCCCTGGAGTACCCTGACAAGAGCCATTAAAGTTTATAAGCGTGAGGCCCAGCTGTCAATCAAGCTGACAGGCTGCCCCCACCCAACCCTGCTCTGAGGTGAACCCCAGGAAACCCCAGAGAACCCCTGACCCTGCTTTGACAGGGAGCTGGGTTGGTATGGGCCGGGTGGGGCTGGGCTGGAACTGGCTAAGGGCATGGTGAGAAGTTGACGGCTGTAGCCTGAAGGTTGGAAAAGTACGATTTGATTGAAAGATTGATGGTTTGAGTCCACAGACTGGCAAGGAAATTCTGAGATGGGATTGATGAATAAGTGCTGCTGTCTCCCTCCTCAAATAACCTTGAAGGGATGAACCTGTTAAGTTCTGCCTTAGAGTGGGGTCCAAAAGTCTGAGGCCACTTTCCCATTGGGCACCATAGCTGGCAGTTCTGGGCAGCTCCCAGGTGGGGAGTGCTGATCCTTGATTAACAACTCAGACTCAGCTCAGCGTTAATATAGGCTGCGCTGGTGTGGCTGTAGTACTGTGCATGTGAGAAAATAAGAAAGCTTTTTTTTTTTTTAATTTTTGCCAGAGACTTGTTGCATATTTTCAGTGGGTGATAGCAAAAGTGACGTGTCATACTAACTCAAATGAAAGCAATTTCTTTGTTATATGATGTGCTATAGTCCCAGTGTTTGAATATCATGTTATATGAAATTATCTGACATGTCTTGTGGCAAATCCCACTCAAGTTATAGCAGGAATGTGAATCTTTTGTTAACAGACTAGCAGTTGAGGGCTTTCTTTTTTTTTTTTTCCTCTTGGTTGTGACTGTTGCATTGTGAAAAGCATAAGATTGGCTTTGAGGGATTGGATTAATTGTTGAACTATAGAGGGGTTGATGTGCAGTCACAGAACAAAATCTGCAGGTCGCCTGTTCTCTCTCTAGCCAATGAGGCAATTAAGCCAACTCTGCTGTTGGACGTTATTGTAAGTTGCTCTGGATCAGAGTATATGCCAAATACCAAATAACCCAATGTAAATATTCACGCACAAACTGTATGTATATATGTGTGTGTGTGTGTGTGTGTCTGTGTGTGTGTGTGTGTGTGTGTGTCTGTGTGCTAGCTCCTCTGTTTCGTTCCTGTGTGCATGATGTAGCCTGTCGTGCCACAGCAGGATTAAAGTATCCCTCTCCCTAGACTGCCTCTTCCCTCAGCCCCCGCGAACCCCTCCCACACACTATTTGTTTTAATTAAAAGAAAACTTCCAGCCTTGGCCAAGCGAGACGGACCAACGATGACTTTTTCCTCTTCTCTCTTGCATTCTGCTCCAAAATCTCTGGCCAAACCTTTTTTTTTCTTTTCTTTTACTCTTATGTCTCTCTTTACATGTTTCTCAGTTAGTCCTTTATTCCATCGGAGTTATGATTGAGCAGAAGAGGGATGCATGTCGTCTGTGTTGGAATGTGGGGCTGAATGGGCCTGTTTGACAAAATGGGATGAGAAAGTGTCGTATGTGCAGTCGGCCAAAGGGGAAATTGAATCATTCCGGGTTGGGAAGGCACATTTGGGAATATCCCTGTTTCCTCTGAGTTGTGGCTTGGAGACTTTCATAGGCTTAGCAGCGCTCCCTGAGGTGTGTGTCTGTGTTTGAGTTTGTGCGTGAGTATGCATGCATGTACTGTATGTGTTTGTGTGAGAAGGCAGTTTTCCATTTGTGTGCATCTGTGTACACCAGTATGTGTCCTTAGAGTGGGACACTTTACAAAGCACACATTGTAGTTTGTGTCAAAGAGTAGCAAAGCTCGCGGTGAGTGGGAGGAGGTGTGCACCTGCAGGCCTATTTTCTATTGTGTCAGCAGCTCGAGCTTGTTCCCCACCTCTTGGAGGGATTCAACACTGGGCTCTAGTCCACACTCAAAAGTGATCCTTTAAACCCAGAGGGAACCACATTAGTTCAGGCGAGGTTTCTGAACAACCGTCAGTAACATTCATAATATTACATATTGTATTTGAGATGTTTAATGCACTTAGATGATGAAGTTACATCACAGCAAAAATGTCTTAAATAATCTCAAAGATATGGCGAGTGGAAGGATATAACTCTATTACTGTAAAATGTGAAGCGCCAGAGTTTTGCTCTCAGTAGAGAATGTGTTTTGATATTATTTTGCTTTTTGTTGCAGTTGGACCCCATCCCTGATGAGGTGCTGCAGCAGAGGCCAAATGCCAACGCTGTTCACTCCATGGAGAAAGTTATTGAAGTTCAGAGTGAGTCACATGCAAACACAACATACATATGTATCTACATCTCTTTTATTATATGTATTGTCATTAAAAAATAACAGTTTAATTTGGGGTATCTCTACTCACACTACATTTACTTGTAGGTAAATACTGGCGCTCACTGCAACGCTCCGCCTCCACGCTTGGTTGCTCGTTGAGCGAAGCCCTCCAGCGAGACGCAGAGGAAGCCGAGACCGTCTCCGCTATGGCCTCGTTGTCTGTTGCCAACAAGCATATTGGAAAGAGGTACGTCACGTTGCCTGATTGTTCTCAAGGACTGATGGAACTTATACTTTAGCAGTATATTTAAAGTTCTACTGATTGTTGTTTTATATGTAATCAATGATTTGACTTGTGTGTAATGTAAAAGGTGTTGTTCAGTGCAGTGGACAAACAGATAATTAGCAGTGTACTCTGCAGAGTTTAGTCTCATTGTTTTGGTTTGACGGCCCTTTTGTTTAGTCTCTTATTACCTTCCTCTGGTGCTAATGTGACTGTACGTAAGCTAAGCTAATGATGCTACATTATTTATGGTATCATCTTTTCCCCAGGGCTGAAGAGGAACCAATGGAGGAGGAATCTCCTATGTAAAGAAACATCTCTAGCCTTTGACCACTCAGACTTTATTTTTGACAGCGTCCTCATCCGGTCAATTTCCATTTAAATGCCACTCCTATGTCTCACCCCTGCCATCAAGATGGCATCTTATCACGGGAGAGAACAAAGCAGAGCTGACACAAGTGGCAATCACTGAGGATGAGCGATGCATTCACTGATCAGCAGTGCACAGACTGATCAGCATCAATGTGATGTATTGTCTCTTCAAGACCTTGGATATAGGAGGACTGACTCAGCCATCATCCCACAATGACAACCTCGAGTGCCAGTGCTTTTTAAACACTATACAGATGTACTTTTTGAATGCCAGTCGGAACCATGCACAGACAATGTGCAGTCGTCTACTTATCACATTATTCTGTTTTTTCTGTGCTTTATCGTCATCTTCTCGCTTTCATCAAAAAAAACCACCAGAGCTAATGTGATTGTGACTCTGCACTAAGGATGGATCTTTCCTGCTCTTTTAAGATATATCCGGATGAAAGGAACAAAGTGGATGAATTTCTTGCTATTTTCTCAGATGAGAATTGTCAGCAGGTGTTCTGATTCCAAAATGATCGACAGTAAAAGACTGTGCGCTCGTGCCTTTTTTTTTAAAAAAACCTGGTGTATTTTCTGTTGAACTCTACTGAAAGAGCTTTGCCTTAAAGAAAACAGGTTTGGGAACGAACTTTCTTCTCCCCAGCCCCTTAAACATTTCTATCCTGGCAAGACATCCAATGCCTGCATGTTGTTGGCACATAGACTGGAGAACCTTGGCATGTTTACCTATAACTCCCTGCAACCAGCCTACTGTCTCTCCCTGTACCTCCATCTTTCCTTTACCCCCCTCATTCTCAATCTCAGCTTGGAAGGTAGTTTCCAGCCACAAGTTGGAGTTGGTTCAGTTTAAAAGGAAGTTTAAGGTGGGATTAGTATTACTCAGTTTAACCATGTAGGCATCAGCTCTCCCCCAGGGAGGATTAAGTAGCATGCACTGTACTAGAGCAACAAGACTTGTGGAAACTAGAATGCTGTTCATACTGTATGTAGTTGTTAGACAATAGTGAAGCCAAAGCATGATGGACTATCATCTCTGTAGAGTCAAACTTCTCACAATCACAAGCATATAACACTTCACACAATTCTACATTTAAATCAGTCTCACTTTTTGTAGATGGATGAACGATAGAGAGGAATTTATCACATATGGGCCAATTTGTTGGACCAATTTGTTGGACCAGCCCTCTCTTTAAGACAACTGTGTCTCCGTGGTAACGAGGATCATTCCACCTGGGATTTTCCAGAGGGGTGTTCCAGGGCTGCACAGGCTCTCACAGCTGGTTCAACATCTTTTTATGTCCCTTGTTAAGCACATCTGTTCCCCAAATGTCAGGTGCTATGAGGCAGGTGTTCATATACAGTGAAGCACAAGCTGCTCTTTATAAATATTCAAGTGTATACACATATTTTTATAGTTTTTTTTTTTTTTTTTTTTTTTTTTTTTTAATCCTCTTTTTTCTTGACAAGTGATGCAGCTGTAGGGATCAGACCACGCTTAATGAATATCCTTGCAGCTCACATTCCCTTCCAGATAAATCCTCCTTTAGGGTTGGGTTTCATAAGCATTTCTGATTAAAACCCAGTAGTGTATCAGATCTGCCTTTTATAATTCTGAATCCTCTGAAATCAATAATAAATATCTTAATATTTAAGAAGACATGAGGTAAAATATTGGTTAGAGTTTCATTATACTTGGTGCTTATTGAATTTGGCTTCTTTATACCACCGTGGAACTCAACTTAAACTTAACTGGCTCTCAGTGCCCAACCCAACTAGCCAGATAATACAAAACACCAGCCACCAGACTAGTTGTAGTGAAAATCTGGTCGTCCGTTTTGGTAGGTAAAACACTTTTTTTTCCTTTAAAAAATTTTTACATGAGTGATCGTGACTATACCAGCCACTGCTCACTGTGCGGCCAGTGAGCTAAACTTAACTTCCTGTCTGTAACCATCCTCCCAACGTGTGTTTGGCCTCTGGGAAACTACCTTCTGTCTTTGTTTCATCTAAGAAAAGCTAATCACATGTTTAATGTATTTTTTCAGTGAACAGAAACAGAGTGCTGTGGTGTTTACTGTTGTTTACTGTACATAGGACATTGATCCCCTGAGTATTCCTGCCACACACACACATTCGTCAATGACTACTCTACTTTGTTGATTCCTGCTCCTCTCATCTGTGTCTTTTTTCTGGTCTCGTTGCCCTCTCAATGGACTCCAGTGACTTCTTTTTGTACTCCTGTTCTCCGATTGTTTTTCTTATTGTTTCTCTCCTCTGTTGTTTGTTACATTGTAAAGCTGACATACTTCACAACAGGTGAGGGCTCAGACTCAGTTTTTAGTGGACTTTACATGACTATGTTTTCTGGGTTCGGGGGGTTTTTGTGGGAGGGTCGGGATGCAAATGTTTCTACTTTGTATAATGATGGACAATTGTGTATTTACTGTCTGTTCATAGTAGATTTATATATAAAAAGAAATGAGTATATTATATATATCTATACATAATGAAATACTATGATCTTGTTTTTGAAGTTGGTATTGAAAAATTATACTTTTCATGGGTCCTACATACAGTCGGCTCTTTTGAGGGTGTTACTGAAGGCACCATTTGCTGTACTTGGTTACAGTTTGTTACGAGTTGAGTAGCATTTTACTGGTTGTCTTTTTGTCTTTTAACACTGATGACTAGTCTTTGGCTTTATTCATCCCATTGGTACCATAACACTGTTACACTAGGTGTGCAATTGCCCCTCCGCTCAGCCGCACATACTGTAGTCATACTGTTCCACACCTATTTATGTGTGTAAACTTTGGCTGGCACTTCTGAAGTTTCAGTATTTTAAAAGACGTGTGACTAAAATTCGATATCTGGATTCTACATATCTCAGAAATGACCAAAGTGGTGATCCTTTTCTTCACATTTGTTCCTCTTCCTCACAGCTTTACAATTTTATCCTCTTATATCTGAAAGAACAAAGACAATGGGAAGGGTGGATTTGAATTGGAACATGGCCATGCTCTTCCCCGACATAAATCACTATTATGGGCCATTAAAATGATTCCACATGATCATCACTTATTTGTTATCAGGCCCAATATCCCAATGGGTTTATTTGAAATGAACATTCCTTTAAATCAAGCTCACATGTGTAATCCCATTCATCAGTGAAGTGATGACTCTGGGTTTGTGGGTGGCCTGGTGTTTAGTAAGACTGTCCTGTATCTAAAAGATCACAGGTGCTTGATCCCTCATGTCTTTCCTTTCTCACGAAAACACCAAAACACATTCCTGGCTTCTCTGGTGACAGGGACAAAATATCTTTGTCTTAAGAAAATGATATGGTTACATTGTCATATGCTGATTGAAATTTTCAAATCTCAGTCAGACATTTTCTAATTTTGACTGAATGCATCTGACCTCTAATGGCAGAGTGATGCTGTCTCTTCCTGCAGATGCAGCTTTGATGTCACATGTCTCTAAATCACCTCCATGGCATCCTTAGCCATGGCTTCTGCAGATGGCCAGAGAGGTCAAAGGTCGTTTTAAGCATCTTCCACTTTGTAAGTTTATAAGAACAAAGGAAAATGTGTGGACGTGCTGGAAATTGTATGACATAAAGTAGGTTTTACCCAAGAAGTAACTAAGGTCTCAGCATTTAATCACATCTTCAGTTTATTGTCAAATACATCACTTCCTCTTTTTATTTTTTGTCATTTTTGGATGGTTTGTTTCTTCACATTATCATAATAGTTCATCCATACAGGGACATTTGCGGTTGGGATGTGAAAATGCAGAAAGTCAGGCTGTCTTTAATATCACTTTAACTGGGACGTGCTGACATCTCTGTGCATGTAAATACAGCTGATCAGATGCTTTTCGGTAACCCAGACCAGAACATTCCCAGAACCTTTGCACAGCAGTGCCAGTCATGGGTTTTCTACTGTTGAATGCTTTGGTTTCTCAAATGGAGCCAAAACTAGCACACTCTGGCTACTCTGGCCGTCTGTCTTCACTGTTAGTCTTAACACAATGTCCAGTAACAAAAAAGCAGCCACATTCCATTTTGTTATAATTTCCATTCATTAGGAGGGGGGCAAATCTCTTTGTTTTAACCCTCGTAGTTCAGTCCAGCCAGGTCCCAGAACTGTCTGTTTATTTAGGTGGCCTGGTCCGACTCCACTCCATTCCTCTCTCCTCTCTCTGCATGATCCATATGTCTGCATGCACTGCCTACCTGTCTGTCTCTCTGTCTCATGCCACATATCAGCACAAGGGATCGAGCACTGAAGGACGTTAGTACTTTCACTGTATCCAAACTGTCTTATCTCTTTTACTGCTTTTGTCTCTGGTGGGGAGGAGTTCGGGTGCTTTCCATGTTGTGCTTTTACTTGTAGCATATGGAATCTTCAAACCTGAGAGACTTCAGATGAATATTTTACACAAAAAAAAGAAAAAAAAAAAGGTATCTAGCACTTGTAACACAGACAATAGATTTTATTGTATTTATGTAGAAAAACAAATTGTTTTAGGGGGACGCTTTGTAAACTGCGACTACAGAATGGGCTTTTCTTTTTTACACCAGGCTGGATGTGACTTTTGTGGACTTTTGGGAAGACTTGTTTGTTCTTAGTCACATCTGGACTTGTTAAAGGGCTCCATCCAGTTGCCTGGTCATTGTTACAGTTGTCCATTCCAGTAAATAAGCCAGTTATCACTATGACCACTGTGGTTCAAAAACAAACAGTTCTAGGTTTACATATGTATAAAATACATATTCTGTTTTTTTTATCAGTTATGTTTTTGACTTGTTCCACCATTGTTACAGAAATAGTACATTTTTCTCGGGAACCTTTGCTCTAACATGTTGTCTTTGACATCTACAATATAAAGTATTGTTTTGGACAAACTGCACTGTCTGGTTTTTATATTGATACTGTTGCTTAATGGTTTTCATTGCAAAGAAAAGGCTTATTCACTTGCAGGCAAACAGAGTACTGCACTGATATAGCATTGCACTCCTATGGTAACATTGTTGGACTTATGATGGGCATTTTTATTTTTTTAAGGACCAAACTTGATGCAGCAGAATTAGAGATATTAGCTGTGTCGCAATGCAGGGGCCGCATCCTTTGGAGGAAGCGGTCTGTGAAGGTGAGGCCCTTCGTAGCCATCGTAGACCACGAAGGCGGAACTGCAATGAGAAAGGCTGGCCTATGGAGGACTTTTTACTTTGCGTCCTTGACAACATGTAACTTTTTTTCCAAAAAACTTTAGGTTTTAATGCACTTGGTTTTAACAGTTGTACAATTAGCTTCTCAACTGAGCTGATACTTACATTTAAAAGTGTAATCCAAGGGCTGTCTGCCGGCCATATAATTTTTTTATTTATTTTGTCGGCCGCATTTGAAGGAGCCTTTAAAAAGGTACAGCTGCTGTGACGCGATCCGTCTTCAAATGCAGCCTTCACAGGAAGTGGCCCCTGAATTGGGACACACCCATTGCCTTTTTTCTTCCGTGTATTCTTCTTTCTTGCTTCAGGTCAAAACCTGGTGCCTACATTATCCATAGTGCACCTAGTGGTATGTGAGGCTAATGTAACGTCAAGCTGCTAGCCTCAAGCAGAGATGACCAGCCGGCAGTGGGAGCTTAAGTCTCTCTTACTCCACACCCCCCGACCCCACCCCATCCCCAGTTTTTTTTTTTTTTTTTTTTTTTTTTCTGACTCAAATGACATCACTTGAGGCAATTTATCAGACTTTGCACCACTCCCTCTGGAGCCAGAAAAAGCTTCATGCAACTCCTTTGAACATATTATGCAGTAGTGCTCCACGTCTGTAAACAGACTGTGATGTGTGAAAATTGGTGGAGTTCCCCTTTAAGCCCAGAGGGAGGCAGCATTAGAGGAACAGCAGCGAGGGCCCCACAGTAGCTGTGACCGGGGATTAGCCACCCATTTGGACAGGGCAAAGGTCTGAGGCAGTGTCCAAATAAACAGTAGTGAATCCCTGTTGGTGGTGGAACTAACACTAAGACAACAGTCCAAAGGCAAACAAAACCAATCCCGCCTTACCTCCCCTCAAATAAACACACATTCCTCTGCTTTCCTGTCAAACTCTGAATTTAGTGAGTAGCAGTGTAAATAATACAGCTTCGTGGGCTTGTCGCAGTCTCCGTAAATCATGACACCACGCTGAGTCAAAGGCAAATCTCTGGGTCCTTGAGGGAATAAGGTTAAACAGAGTGATGAGGGACAATATTTACCATCATGCAGATGCTGAGCTCTGAAGGTTCCCAGAAGTAAAAAGGATGATGTTAAAGATGGGAATGTGTTTCTCTTTATGGTTCTTCAGTGGGTGGAAATGCTTTAACGACCGCGCTCCTGACACGCAGACTGCCCGTCTCACCTTTAGCTCACCGTAGGCGTCGATACGTTCGTCATCTCTGCTATGTAGCAACACACGACCCCTGTGACCCCTCAGTAAGGTCAGGTCGGCGAAAAGGTGGAGCCCTCTGAGTTGAACTCTCACCCTTCCCGAAGGCCATCAACATGGCCGCCTCCTCTCCACAACAAAGGGCTGTAATGTCACCGAGGGATTTCCTCTACGTTTCTCCGCAGTGACTTTCTGGTCTGCGGCAGCTCGTCTTCATGCTGTGTCAGTTGTTGTCAGTTCGCTCTGTCATTACTCACCCATACGCGTAAAGAAAAATAAAAAAAAAAAGGTCTCATCCTCCCAGCTGTGCTCATCACCGCACTTTTTTAATTATAGTTTGGACTGACTCGAAATGGGCGATGAGGCCTTGGCCAGCTGCTGGGATGACATGTAAAACTAATTACAGATTAGAGTCATTAGCATCAGTTTTGACTCAACAACACACACAACAAACGTGCGTTGGGCATCAGTATTGAAGAGCGAACTAGGAAACACTTTGGCAAGTCAGTTTGTTGCTGACAAATTCAGTTTTCAATCCTCAGTTTCCCTCAATTAATTTTATTCCAAGCGAGGAGTTTGAATCACTGGAAACGTACGCGAGACAGTCTGCGGACGTTTGCTGTTCTTTCCATTGGATGTTCCGCCAGTCCGGTTGGGACTTCTGATCCATAGTGTATTTGAAAAGCTGTGCAGCGTTTGCTTGTCTTACTACTGTATGTGTTAAGTCTGGTGTTGAGCATGTACTGAGATCAAAAGGACAAGGACACACGAGGTTACGAGGAGCTGTTGCAAACACAACACTGAGACTGTCAGCTCGGGTGTGAAGAGTACAAGCAGCAGGACAAAGTTCAGCTCCCCATGACGGCTTTATTTTAAAGATACACGATGAACCAAAACACCAAGCCTCGATTTATTCATTCACGCCACTTACATAACTGCCACTAAATACCCCCATTATGTTACAATATGTCCTTTATGGTAAAACACAAATGATAAGTAGACACATCACCAACATGACCCAAAGTGAACATAATATCTTCTGTTTATAGAAAATTTCAAAAATTCATACATCTGCTTATTCTTGTATTTATATATGCATTTGTATTTTACTTTTAAAGGTCCACTTACTAATTTTACTGGAGCTTTTCACATCCCACTATGTGTATCGATAGATGCATCACATCTGCACATAGTTTGCTCAGTTTTCATAGAGATGAATTTGCTCTGATGAAGACCATGTCATACGGTCGAAATGCCTGGGGAAAAAAAAGCTAGTAAGCAGGCCTTGAGCTGGAAATGTTCAGCTAAAAGAGATCAAACTTTGATCAGCAGCTGCTTTTCTTTTCTTTTTCTTGTTTTTGAAAGCATAAACTTTTTTGTTTGCTACTTTCCAACATGTGCTCCCTCAGGGTTTGAGTGTTTTTGGATGAAATATGAGGTTGCATGGTTGAGTTTGGCGTGACTGCCCTGTAGTTGTTTGCTGTTTGGATTTTGCTCGTTTTGAGCCCTTACCACCAGGGGGTTTCATCAAACAGCTTGAAATACTCTATGTACTGTAGATTTTGTTTGAATAATACAAGGCCTCTGTGCGAGCCTCAGTGGTACCTTGTTATACCATGAGGAACAATCTTTGAGCGTGTTTTCTTTTTTCCTTTTTTTCTATTTTCAATTTGCAATCTTTTTCTTTCAAACAGTGAAAAGAAGTAACAGAAAACTTCCTCCCCAAACCTGCAGATGAATCGAGTTTCACAGCTGAAGGTGAGGAGGATGCTGGGACTGTTACTGCGAATGGAGAAGGACATGTCTCTGGAGGTCTAGGTGCCACCTTAAACTGCTGCTTCATGGTTTTCTCATGACTGTGCTGAAGGCTAATTATAAAGCCTGCCCTTTTTTTTTTTAATCATGAAACTGTGCTTTACCAGCGTTGCAGAGCCAAGATAAGACCAAAGCAGTGATTCTGAAACGTCTGACCTGACTTCCTGAATGTCTGGCACAGATAAATTCAACATGCATCTGAAAGATTAATGAGCCGAGATTACTGTTAATGGATATTGTTTGTTTGTGGATGCAGTAAACAGCGAATGCCTCGAAAATGTTTCCCTGTTGAGATGACATGTTGTAGCTGTCCCTCATCTGACCTGGTTAGAAGAGCTGTAATCATTGTTTGGCGAACATCACCGACACTATAGTTAGATTCTTTCTTACTTTGTGGCCGCTGAAATGCGATGATTAGTGTGAACCTCGCTGCAGTCTATAGCCATCTTGTAATAGCACCAGATATGCCAGTGGAGAAACACAGAGAGGCTGGTGAAGGATGATTTATTCAGAAATGGAACGGAGCAGTTTATATAAAGTTGGTCTGCACTTTTGTGTATGTGTGTGTGTAAGATGAGACCAGATGGACTATGCACAACGCCAGGAGAGAAGATGTGCTCAGAGGCTCCGTGCCAAGAGACGAGTTACACACACAAACACAAGTAGAGAGTCATGCAGCACAGACACATTCCCATACATATTCTACCAAAAGCTGCCCAGCTACAGGCAGTGCTCACATCCCAGGTCTAATGGTACTTTATTTACAGATTGTATTTCTTTGTAAGCCTTTGTTTGGGACTTTCTGTCATGGTGGACACCTAAATTACCCATCATACACCACAGAGGATTTGAACCAAAGCATCTGCACAAACATGAATTTATTCCACAGCCTTGCTCTCTCGGCATGCCAGGAGTCTTAAGTGATAGACCTCCATGTTTTTTGTTTTATTTTACAGTGACGGTGATCCCCGACAGCGTCAGATATAAAGTCACAAATCAGAAAGGGAAGGTGTTTTCACAGACGTGCAGCACAGACATGTTATCTGCATCATTTAAGAGGGAAAAAGTGAGTATCTCACTCCCCATAGTCCCAGCAGGACTGCTTTTATAACTAAATCTTCCCGTCCAGTTACACTCCCCCAGCTTCCAGAGTCCTCGAGAAGCCCCAGAGGAGCCACGTGGTAAAGAGTGAGAGTTTGGAGGTGAGAGGATGCCATCTACAGAGGCTTTCAGTCATCTAATAAATAATGAGCTTCAAAGGATGGAGGAGAGATCAGGCTCTGGATGCAGATGTTGACGCATCAGCGTGGTGCTATCATATCTTGCCCCCATGCATTTGGAATTTCTCTCTTCACAGGGTCAGTGACTCCAGCGCCATCAGCAGAGCAGGGTCAAGCAGTTCACTGATAGATACTTTAACAGGTGCCGGGATGATAAGTTCTCCTGATGCCCAGTTCGAGGGACTCTCAGAGTTCAGCAGAGTCAACGTCATGTTGTTTTCATAACATGTAAAGCCTCTCTTTGGTTTTACATCCAGAGGTTTTTGAGGCTGTGAACCCGTATCCTGAGGGGAATCTAGACGGACTGAGTGAAGACAGTTTGTGACTGGAAGTTATTTATTTAAATCTCCAAATCAGTTACACATTGCTCTTTCCTCCATCAGCAAAAGACTACAGCTAGTGTGAATGTATATAATTTTGTCCGCCCACCCTCTCCAGAGGAATAAAGAAGGGAAAAAAAAAAAAAAAAAGAAATCACCAGCCTGAGGCCTGATGAAAATGTGGCGGGGCCCTTCTGTGCAGGATCAAAGTCTTAGGGACTCTGATTAAATGATGGAATGAAGGAAAGGCGGATACGAGCTGAAGAAAAAGGCCAGAACCTCTGCTAATTCCTTTTCATCCAGGCAGCCTTGACAGCCGAGGCTCTGCCAGGTTCCTCTGAGAGGCATCGCGCTCTCGCTCCACTCTGTGTCAGGTTTTGTTGGTTCATCGAGATTCGTCACTCTCTGTGTTTAGATGTCAAATATCTGCACGCACCAAGGACAAAGCGAAATTCATCTATCTTCACTGCAAAAGGCAAATAAAGTAGTGCAGCACCTCGGCAAGCACAAGAATTTCACTTCATCTTTGTGGCTCAAGTCGACTCAGCACCAAGATATGATGATTTAGGGAGGAAATACTGAGGGAATGACTGCAGCTGCAGTGTTTTAGTCACCTAAAACAATTGAACAAAAAGCCCCGACAAAGACTGCAAGTTATACCTTCTTTTAAAAATACATATTTTGTACTTATTTTGACTGGATTCACCTTAAACCTTATATTTAATTTCTCCTCTATGAGCATAAAGCATGTTCTTTCCTGTAACTTGTGCTTGAAACACACAGAATAAAACCAAACTCTAATCTAATTTAATAATAATAATAACAATAAATCTTATTATTGACCTACTTCATCCTTCAATCCTCCACAACAGAAAAACAGAGGATCAATACTCCAGGCTTATTTGAAGTCTGACTAACGCTTGTGTATCGCCATGGTGGCAGCCGACACAGCTGACTTCCAGCTTTGCCAACACACACACACACACACACACATAGGGTAAGTTCAGTCACGCCGACATCAGCCTCAAAAAGTGGTATAAGGCTAACCTTGGGATTTTTTTTATTTTTTTATTGAACCAGACGAGCGCAGAATACCGTTTCAGGCACACAGAGTGTAAACCTTTACTTTATTCCCCTTTTACTGCAAATTAAAGTTTTGTAGCTTTTTCCGTCTGATTTTACGGGAAACATCTGGATCTCTTGCACCGCTGGAGCAGTGGCCCCGGGTGATTCTGTGCTGCTCAGCTGTGAGGGCCCGGGATAATGAGCAGGTATCAAACAGGCTCCTATGGATAGGCCGGCCTAGGTAGGAAGGGCTGTCCAACAGGATCCGAGACCACCATGCGAAACGCGACAGCGCGTTGAGGCATTTGTCCATATTTGAAAAGTTTTTATAATTTTACCGGAAAGGATTTCATCTGATTCTGCTTGAAATGTTTGTTATAAAAGTGGCAGTAGGAATATTTGTTTGAGATTATCCAGAAAATGTGATTTTTATTCGCGTGTATATTGACATGACCCTGTTTTCACTGCCCTGCAGGTCAGCTGTATTTATCCAGCCTGTGTAAAGTTACTGAAGCTTGATGCGCAGTCTTCACACAGGGAAAGCAGTGTCATTCCTGAACCAGCAAAATTAGAATTAGTCACAGGGATCCCAGTGCCACACACTCTGTCAGATAAATCACTCCATTTAAAAATCATGAACGTAGGTGGTTCTCCTGAAGAGCAGGTTAAACAGTAAAACCGGTGATTTCTTGCTCCCGGTGATCATCACTGAAAACACCCACCAACACAAATGACTCTCTCTGAGGAAAATAAAACAGAGCATTTTAACATGGAGCAGGCCTCCTGAGTCACTCAGTCCGCATGCTCCCTCTGAGAAACTGCACTCAGACACATTTGTGTCAGATGAAGTGTCTGTGTAAACTCTAATAAATCAGTGGATAATGTGAGTTTGGTGCATCGGCATCTTCACAAAGCAGCAGGAGGATTAAGCCACTGTGGCTTGCAGGTGTTTCCCCTTCACACCACACACACACAGAGACAATCACACAGGCTGACTAACATTCTGCTGTTTCTACACTGAAGTGGGAATCTGTAGTGAGTTGTCATCTGTTATCTCCTGAGTACTTCATATTTTGCAATGCAGTTTTTCAACCTGAGAAAAACATAACGTGCTGGACTGTATCCATCTGAAATGACATTAAAGATATCGTGGATTTACTGCAGTTAAATCGACAGGGGGATGTTTGTTTTGTTGGTAATTATTGAGCTATTCAAAAGTTCCACTTGAAAGTGAAGGTTTGAGTTCAGCTGAAGCAGCCACAGAGAGTCAGGCCACCATTTACATTAGTACCCCTGCTTAACAATGAGCTGCTTTCAGTGTTTAGATTGCATCTAACCACGTCTGGGAAACCGAGATGTAAACAGTTTTAATGTTTTAAGAGTGAGCGGGAGAGATTCAAAGGAATTTCTACAGTCGTCTAGTTGGGGTCCGTTTTTTTTTTTTTTTTTTTTTTTTTTTTTTTTTTGAAGCTGCAGGCTGAGAGTTATTGTCCTTATCTGCAGTTGTTGGGGCTCCCTGCTCGTTAAAGAGCCCAGAGGCATCGCCATTTGAAATGATTACTCGTTATTTAAGCGGACAAGCATTTTATAAGCCTGAGTTTGAAACTGGCTCGAATTTCCTCCACTGTTAATGAAGCTGTATTTTTTATGGTCGTTTTTTTTTTCTTTCTTTTTTTTTCTAAGTCGGCGTTTTCTTTCCATAACAAGCGGAGAGGGGAGAAAGGGGGCAGCTTCTCACACCCAGCAGGGAAATAAAAATGGTGTTAGTATTTTTTTTTTCTTTCTTAATCTAGCAGCCATCAGGGAAACCTCACATAAGCAGGCGTATTGTTTTAGGTTGCTCTAATTTAAATCTTGTTGGATGGAAGTTCAGCAGAAACTTTAATGCCTTCGACTGGAATTTATTCAGCTGAACTACATCGTTTTATGTTATAGCTTCAAATCTACAGCTAAAATAAAAAAAATCAAAAGATCAAGCGTATTTTGTTCAAAAATATGTGTTTTAATAAATAAGCAAAAACAAAAAAAAATGTACATTGGACGGAGTTTTTGGAGACTTGCTAAAGAAAATAAATCCATGCAGGAATGACTCTAAATTGCATTGGTCCCTTTACAAGCTATAGGCGCACTTACACAGGTATGTACAATATGCATTTATATATTTATACTTTGGTTTAAAGTCTTTGAAAAACAAAATAGGCCTATATCTCCTTCTAAAAAAAAAAAAAAAAAAAAAAAAACGATTTAAGGATGGCTTTGCTGGAATGCAGGCCGGGCTCTGACACCTCTGGCCTCCTCCACACATGGCAGAGCTCTCAGTCTGCCACAACAACAGCAACACACAGTCACACACACAACACAGCGCCGTGGGTCCGCGTCCGCACACGCACAGTTGTGGGTCACATTACGTCTCTCCGCCATGCCTCTGAGGTCGATGGGTTCTTCAATAATACCTTTTGGTCTTCATACTTTGTAGAAGTAAACAGTCTGTGACGGAGACAAAAACACAGAGATATTATTAATCATATGGACACGTGCACAGCAATGCTCTAGAGTGTGTCTTGTTTGTGAGGCGAGGGCACATCTGATGTGTGTGTGTATGTGTGTGTGTTTTTTAAACATTCACTGGCTCGCTGAGCGTGTGGGAAGTCATTAATGAATCAATTATTATCCACCGAGCTGAGTAAAACCATATGGCAGCAGAAAAGCAGGAACCTTTTGTATCTGAGTGGGATCCTACAGCTGCAGCAGTCTCTCTGGCCTTTAGTTCGAAGCACCTGAGTAAATTCACGCTTTTCATTTGGCCCATTCCCACAACAATAACATCTATTTCCTCAGAGCAGCGTTAAAAGTTATTATTGAAATATATCACGAAGTTCACCGACGTCCCGATTTGTAAGGTTTATTTTGAAAGGCCTTTCACATATTTAAGAATAATATCACCACGTGGATTTCGAGTTTGCCTTTTGCCAGTTTAACAAAACGAACGCTGTTTATTCTTAGAGAGCAGCTCACTTGCTCTCAGAGGAAAAAGAGAGAGAAGCTCGTGAACACTCTTAAAGGCTAAACGACACTTTTTTTTTTTCCAGAGCTGTGTTATCCCCCAGAGGTAAATTAAACTCTCTGGATTACTGAGAAAAAAAAATCCACCTTCAAATTTATCTTGCTTACATAAATCACTATAATAATGACGCTTGCTGGTTGTCCCCACAGCAGCAGAGCTGGTTCATATGAGACAACAAAGTGATGCTGATGAGCAGTCAGGACTGAGCGGTCTGCAAACTACAGGTCAGGCCCGTGAGAAACAAACAAACCCCGCTTCTGGTTATTTTAACTGTGAAGTGTTGTTTAGTATCACCTGCTTTACCGCCCCAAATAAACAGCCCAGACCTTTATTTTCTTAAATTGATCTGGAACCGTCATGTCTGAGGCCTCGGTGGAATGAGTTGAGATTTGCATCCGTCAGATCTTTCAGAAGAAGCCCAAACTGTGAGGACAAATATTTTCCCGATGACAGACCAGATGTTATAATTTGGTCAGTGTCATGCTTGCTTGACTTTTCTCTCATTTTCTTCTCTCTCTGTTGCTAAATTGCAAAGCGGAGTTGAGTTTTTCCAAGACTACGCCTGTGAAAAGTTAAAACACAAGCTGCCAGCTCTTTTGTGATAACGACACCTCTCTATAGTGGATCATGGATCCTTGTGGACTTGAGCAAGCCAGGCTGCAAATCTGCAAAATAACGTGATCAAATCCAAACTGCCTGTTAATACGCGCCTCTGTTTTTATTGTCTTGCACTGGCTTGAACTTCTCATGTCCAGCCGAGCTGCCCATTCCTGCGGTCTGCACACAGGAAAGCCCTCTATTGTGGATAGAAATTACCCGTGGTGGCACCACAGCTGCGTTTTGGTGCTTTTAAAATATTAGGATTAACTGCAAAACTCACAACTGGCTAATTTCATTGGGTTTCTGGTCAAAAAATAGAAGAGACAAGAAACAGACGAGGCGTATTCTTCATCTGGCCTTGCATGTGAAAATTTTCCAAAACTATTATTTGTATTAATTCACCTACTTCCCTCCGCCTGATCCCTTTCTCCAAATAAATACCATGTTCCCTTTTCCACATCCCGAGCTGCACTCATGCAGATTTAACTGGATCCTTGTGGGATCCTGAAGGTGTCAACAAGTGATCTGATGGATCAGTTGTCACCAGAAGAGCCCAAAGCAGCAGCAGCAGCAGCAGCAGCAGCAGCAGCAGCAGCAGCACCAGCATCCAGATGCAGATGCAGTCAGTCGGGCGCTGACAAGATGCTGAGGCCTCAGTGTGAAATCTGGCACATTAATAACAGGCGCGGTAACAGCTGAGGCCTTCAGGCTTCTGAGCACATGGGTTGAAATTGTGATGCACAGCTCTGTCGTTTGACTGTTCGTAATATATTTTATCTGCATTAAAAAGATGGCAGCAGGCTTTAAAGGACACCCTCCAAATCCAGCACACGTGGCCTCATCACAAGCGCACAACTACCCTCATTTTTATAATAAATGACTGCAGAAAAGAGCATGAGTAAAATTCACAGGATACAATTCATAATCTGCCTCATATGTCTGTCTGCAGCATCGCACTGTTCCTTCGTTGTTTATTATTTGTTCTTTATATCTGTGATTGTCTTGTGAAGATATTATTCGTTCAATCCAAGAATAAAAGCCAATCTTTTCTATTACTTCTGCTGTAATAATATAGGATTTCCTTTGCTTCAGTCTTGTGGTACCCACCGCTTTGGCATAGTAAGTGAAGGTCTCTGGGTGCTAGTGAGATGCTGACATAGACCAAGCGCCTTCCATCCTCCACACGGAGAACGCGTAACTGAGTCTTTCGTGCGCAACGTAGCTGCAGCTGGACATCTTGCTGTCCATCTCGTCGCTCTGCAGCACCTGACAGAGAAAGTCAATGTATCTGGAGGCGAGCTTCAGAGTCTGTATCTTGCTCAGTTTGTCCGAGGGAAGCGTGGGGATAATTTTGCGCAAAGACGCAAAGGCCTCGTTGAGAGACTGAGTCCGTTGCCTCTCCCGGACGTTGGCCAGGACCCGCTGGTTCTGCAGCTCCTCGTAAGACTGGGTGCTGCTCGGACTCGGTTTTTTCCCTCGTTTCACCGGCCCCGGGCTGCTGCCGCTGCTGTCCTCGCTGGACTTTTTACTGTGTCTCCTCTTCCTCGCGAAGCGTTTCTGCTGCCTGTCCAGCTCCTCCTCGCTGGTCACCAGACTATCCACAGGGGAGACCGGAGAACTGGAGCCCTCTTCCATTTCTTTCTTGAAGAAATGCAGGGATAGAGAGGAAAAAACGTTGTCCACCTTTGAAGCCGTGGTTACAGCAGTGTATAGATATCCGTAAAAGATGAGGAGAATAACTTCGGGATGCCCCTCACTCTCTGCGCTTTTCTCGCTTTAAAAGTTTCAGTCTGGAAGTTTGGCACGCTTCTCCTTTCGCAGGAAGTTTTTTCCTTAAATTTTTTTGGAAACTTTATCCCAGTTTCAGATGCTAAATAGTTTTGAGGGTGGAAGGGGAGGGGTTTGGAGGGCGGAGGGGGAGCCAGTGTGCGTCCTGGTCCGCTAATAAGCAAGAGGGAGCAGTCATGGTTTCATGTGTCCGGGATATGACTGAAACAAGGCTCTTATTTACAGTCAAAAAGCAGCGGAGACCTGTTCCCTTTCTTTTTCCTTTTGTGCACGGTTGGTCAAACAGACATTTTTTAATATTAATTTCTTTTTTACGCAGATCATTCATTGAATCAGAATGAATCAAATCATTATTATTGGATTATTATAAAATGGACCTAATAGATATTTTATGTTGAACATTTATTGGAATGCTTGTATTTATCTTGAATTATTGTTGATAAATGTTAATATGTATTTTAAAAGTTGAACTCACGCTTCTAATATTTTTACAACATGAGTCTCTCATCCAAACAGTCAACAGGATCTGGTCTCAGAGGCCTGTGGGCTTTGAATTAAAGTAAAACATCAGTTCGAGCTTCGCGAGTCAATAAAACTACCGAGTTAACTGCTGTATAAAATCCATTTGGTCCTGGAGTGTTAAGGCTGTGTGTCACAGTCCACTCTCTCTCTCTGTAAGGCCTTTTATATCCAGACAAACCAGCCATGTACAGTAAATACTGTGTTTTCACTGCAGTATATATATAGAGAGAGAGAGAGAGCGATTTACGCACAGATTCATCGGGCTGCAGAGGAAATCTATCCGCTTGATCTCTAATCGAATCAAGTCTGTGCGTTCTCACAGTCCCTATAATGTGGAAGTCAAACAGGAAGGAGGCTTAAACTAACCGAGGAGCTCTCCGGTTTCTGCGGATACCTCCAGCGGACGCGCTCTCCATGCGTTTTGTCAGCGGTCCACTTCTTCATCTGTCATGTCATGTTTTCCCTACACAGAGCGGCGCACAGGTGGCTCATATTATACAGCTGAATTTATCCACTGCCAAAATGCAGAGTTTGACCAAATCAGCTGACTGACCTCTCGAGAATTCTGCGGCTCTGTATTGTTGTGGGTTTTTTCTTTTTGGCTATAGCCTGTGTTCTTTAACTGCAAACATATCATGGTACATAATAGTCATTTTATTTTTATTTAAAAAGAAAGAAACAGGAGAAAAAAATCTGGCGGTGAGCTTAGATCATTTATCTTGCTTCCAAGATTCTTCTTGAATAAAATAAAAACTTCATAGCTTTCTAAGCAGTGGGAGAATTATCTGCTAGATTGTGTTTTAGTTTTAAGAAAATTACACTTAAAATATTGAGATAATCAATTTAAAACGGGATTTTTTAGTGAAGATTAACAACTGAATATATATTGACCTTTTTTGTACTATCTAACTGTATACTGCAGGCTACTCTATCCTCAAAAAACACTATATTGGATGATGTTCCTGAACTTATCAAGGAAACAAGGCTTCAACTGTTAACGTGACTCTCTCATTATTCAAATTGTACTGAATAATTGCCTCTTGTTAGGAAGTAATTTTGCTAATTCACACTGTTGCGTACCCTTTAGTTCACCATGAGTATCTGAAAATAATCAAACTACAGTATCTTGAGTGCATGTGCCCATGTTATGTGTGTTTTACACATCCGGGGAGACTGTTCGCTGTAAATGGGGTGGAACCAAGTGCCTCCTGAAAGTTGCACAACATATTTTAAACCCATGCGTGCTCACTTGGTATTGGGACACATCCTGGTTTTCCCTTGAAATCTCCGCTGGCCTACAGGAAACCCGGTCTGCTTTGTGTTTCGGGCTGCAGTGGTAATGGTGACTGTCATGCTACTTTTACTCAGTGCCACAGCTCTTAACTCAGACCCTGGCGTACCTCAGCACAGGTCAGAGTGTGGCTACATTTTGCTGGTCTACTTCATACAACCTCTTTATAAAGAAGGTAATGTTTCACACATGTAAATATGAAAGCAAGGATGGATCGAATATCTGCAAGTGCATTGTATGAAAGAGGGAACATGCACTCACAGGAGCACATACACACACACACACAGACACACAATGACACACACTTTGCCTGATTATGACCTCTGACCTTTCTGCTCCCTGTCTCAGCTGCAGGAGGCCTGCACACCCAGGGGAGACTTGCTGATCCTGCACAGCGTCTGTGAGGTATGGGCTCCACATATACACACTTCACAAGAAGAAAAAGAGGAAGAGGGGGGCCCCTGGCCAGCACTTTTCCATCCACTGTATTTGCTGTGGGCAACGATAAGCGAGCTCCTATTCAAAAAGGCAAGCAGTGAATGATGAGGGTGACAACTTGCTCCAGTCTCAAACTCACTGAAACGTAAGTCTGATCATATTCCACTGCAAAATATTGTGTGTGAATAAATAAAAAAAATGTTATAGAAAAGGTTAGGTTAATAATTTAATATACACTGGGATTACTCTTTTTCTTTTCATTTAATTCTGTTTTGGGTCTAAAGTCTATTACATGTTTGAGCTGTTGAGAATTTCACTGATTTGATATTAATTCATTATCATATATGTGCACCTCAGCAAGGTCTGTGAAAATGTGTTGATGTGGAAATACATTCAGTAATATCTATAAGAACTCTTTAATCCATCAGGGATGTTGGTAAATGATTCATGTATCACCTGATGCTCGAGTCCAGTCGAGAGGAATGTTTGGTCCCTGTGGCTCTTGTGTGAACCTGAGAGAGGTGATGGAGGAGAAGAAGAGGCAAAGTCGGCAAAAAGAAGTGAGAGACGGGGGGGGGGGGGGGGGGGGTGACCTGCCTCCCAGATCAAAGATGAGCTCAGGCCGTAATTCAGCAGAGCAAGATGACGTACCTCTGTCTTGTCTGACACCTTTGAAACCAGCTCCACATGGGTCGAGGGCACGGCCTTAATAAGCCCAGATCCTTTCTGCCGTCACATCAGGCAAAAACACACCCTCGTCTCATGCATGGCCCTCTGCCTTCACATTGGCCTCATAAACAGAAAGGACCGGTCATGAGACAAGAAGTGAGAGTGAGAGGTGCTGAGAGACAAAAAACAGTTTCGAGAGGGAAAAATAAAAAAAGAGTGATACAGAAGAAAACAGAGAGGAGAGGCCAAATGTATGGATGCGTGATGATTCACAGAAGTCTTTGATCTGACAGAGAGGGTTATGGACGTGTGAGGGAAGTTATGGAAGAGATGATTTGTCAGAAGCTGTGATGAGTGGAATTTTACTGTCCATGTGCCTGCCAGGATCGGTTACCTTTGACTTCAAACCCCACCACCCACCCATCCCCACCCCAAACACTTGTGGGGCTCACCCCAAATGATCTTGGCAAGAGGATCTAAAGCCACGGCCTGTGTGCGAGCATATGCATGTGTCTTCTTGTGTATGTGCTTTTTTTAACACATGTACAGTATACATTATCACCTGATTATTGTGTGCATCAGTGTAGACCTATCCACAACTGCTTTTTCATATACATGCACTTGTATGTGTGTGTGTGTGTGTGTCAGAAAGTGATTCAAGATGAACCAAAGATGTTCAGCGGAGAAAAGGCCCAGCTGGTTCTCATTGCACAGAATACAGTTTTTATTAGCAGCAGTGCTATCCCTTTTAAAGCTACTTGAAGCCCCACCATTTCCATTAGAGCAACCATTTAATGTAAACTGGCCCAAGAACACCTCATGACAAGGAATGAAAAAATCACATTTAACAAGCTGTAACTGTGATTTGTTATTGTGAAAGCCACAGAAACAAACAGCACAATTTTTTTTTTTTAAAAGGAAAAATATATTGATTTTCTGATATATCCAATAAATTGTGCTAGGGTGATACTCCGTAAGTGTACACAGTGGCTAAAGGTGGCATTGAACCTAATGAAAAAGAAATGTAGAAAATAATTGTGCATTTACATGTTAACACTGTCAAAAAAAAGCAGCTAAATTGAAACCCTGGTTTTTAGTGCGGAGATTCCCTGAGGAAAAAAACCATATATGTTTTTGTTTCCTTTCCAGTAAGTTTTGACAGTCTGACTCAGTTCTTAAGAACTTGCATGTCAGACTTGATGGGAATCTGAATTTAGTGTTGAATTAATGAAAGATACGAACGAAAAACATCACAGCCTTTATATAAAAAAGTAATTAATTGCATAACTTCAAAAGAAGAATGGTATCATTCAGAACTTCTTAAGCATTGTTCTCTTTCATGCTAAAAATAGTTGTTATTCAAGTTCTTCCTCAGCTATTGTAGTGTCCCAAGTGGCACAGCCACAGGCTTTCATTTAGACTGGCATTAAACAATATCAGTCACAAGCAGTGTTTTTAATAAGAACCTGTATTTATCAGAGGCCTTGACAGTGACCGAAACAACAGGCAATATCAGTGAGAGGTGCACACTGGGCTATAAAACTATATGCACCTACACTCATAGAGTCATTCTTCAGTAACTCTCAGTAACGCCAAGAACCCATTCATTCATACATCCACACTTCTCCATTCTGCTGCCCCAGGGCTGATGACAAGGTGTTTCTGAAATCGCATTAGGGGCCCTTTCATAAAGGTTTCATTGGGGAGTGTGTAACAGCTTGAAGCATTTAGGCTTTGTTTAATACGATGCAGACTCGCTGCTCGATGCTTTGTCTCCTGTGTGGAAATGGGCCTGGGATGCCAGAGACCCCCACTGTCAAGGTTTGCTTTGATATCTGGAGGTGGAGGGGGAAATAGGGCAGAATAACCCCTCTTCAACACACACACACGCACACACACGCACACACACGCACACACATGCACAAAATACACTCACCCCCGACCCCCGCACCCCCACCCCCAAAACCTGTATGCTCAATACCTGACTCTGCCCTGCTGCCCTGTAGAGTTATGGCCGTCCAATGAACAAGCCAAGCTTTGAAGTACAGCTCTCCGAGGCTTTACACCCTATGGGAGATGTGTGTATGGAGAAAAGAAATCATGATATA